TTAAAGCTTCACTCTGTGTTTGTTTGCTACTGAATGAATGGTGAGGGGCCAAACTAAGCAACCCTATTCCACATCTTTTTGTCTCCAATGAATTTCAGTGTCTTCCTTTAAAAAATAAAAGTTTTATAAATTCCCTTTTGCCACAATTTAAACTATTATTATGTGAATTTTAATTGCAAAATTTTATAGAGAAATTTCTAATGAAATGAGAAAAATTATAATAGTAAAAGTATTTGGTTACTTTAATTTCGCCGATATAAAGAATTTTTTTTATTTTTTAGTTAATATTTTCTATATTTTGCTAAGAATTTAATTTAAGTGTACTAATAAATATTTTTTATTATATTATTTTAATATTTTTTTAAATCTCAATTTGAGAGGTTAAAAATTATGTTTTTATTGAGTTTCGAGTTTTTCATCCTAACTCATTTTTTTCTATATTATTTAAAAAAAATAGTTATACATATAATAAATTAGTTTTAATATTTTTTCTGTATTTTTTATACATAAATAAATGTTTATAATTTTAATTATTATTATTAATTAAGTATATATTTTTATTTTATTATATTTATATTAAAATATATATGTAAAAGAAATATGTATATTTTAAAATTATTATTATTATTATTATTATTACATTATATTTAAATATTTGATTAAATGTATTAGTTAATTATTTTTTTAAGTTATTATTTTAAAATATTAATAAATATAAAATATATCATTTATAAGAAAATATTTAATAAGTTAATTATTATTTAATTAATTCAAAGTAATAAAAGTTTTAATTATAAATTCTTTTTAATTCTTCAAAATATAATTATTTTATTGAAATAAAATTTGATATATGAAAAATAGGAATAATAAAATCCAGAAAATATGATATAATAAAACCTAATAAATATAAACTATAAATAAAATAATACTAGTTACTACTATATTGATTTAGAATATTTAGAAAAAGATAAAAAAAAGAAGAAAATTAACTTTGTATTTATCAAATTGTTTGAAGAAATTTAAAGAAAAAAACAAATTGATTAAAGAGATTAACTAAATGTGAAGAAAAGAAAGGTAAGAGAAAGAAGATATGTGATGAACCAATTGATTAAAGAGGTTGGAAAAGATAAAAGAGTGAAAAATGGGTAGAAGAAAAATAAAAAGTATGAAATATAGAAGAAAAGACTTTATATATAATGTGAGAAAGAAAATAAAATATTTTTAAAAATTAATATTTAAATTTAAATATAAAATCGAAAAGTAGAAGGGAACCAAGTAACTTAAAATTGGAGGTTGATATTTCAACCACTAAGTTATTAGGACATTCTGATAATAATTTACAAATAAATTATATTTATATTTATCCTGTAAATTTATAAATATAAAATATATAAATATAAAAAATATAAATATAAAATATATAAATACAAATATATTTATATTTTGATATATTTATATATATTTATACATTTACATATTTATATATTTACGTGTAAATAAATATAACTTATTTGTAAGTTATTATAAAAAAATCTTAGTAGTTTAGTGGTTGGAATATTAGTTTTCAACTCTAAGATATTGAGTTCAAATTTTTTTAATTTGATATAATTTCGTAGGTGATATCTGTATGTAATGTACAATTTACCTACGGATTTTTATCCGTAGGTAATATTTTGTAGATAATAGGTTTTTTTTTTTGTAGTGGTTTAATTAACATTTGCGATCTCATATCACTTAAAAATAAAGAGTGAGTAACACTTTAAATGAGATTGTTTATCTTAACATATTATCTTAATAAAAAGTAGAAACATTAATATGATTGAAAAACAATGGTAACATAATTTATATATATTACTTGTTGGGATGATGAAAATAATATATTTTAAAAAGTCCCACATCACATTGGATAAACAATAAAGTTAGTGATAACTATATAATGGACTAAAAAAGTCTATGATATTTTCACTCCAATCAAAAACACTTTAAACATGTATTTGACTTTTCTTATGCTCTTGTAGTAAAGTGATATGAGATTTGGTTTAAATTCTTACTTTAAAGAGTGTAAGTGTATTTGAGATCAAATGATATGCGAGAGTAGTCTATGTGTTGTAAAATTTTTTAAATAATATTATTATATAGTTATCATTTGATAAATGTCGTTATTTTTTTCTAATTTTTAGTAGTTCAGTAGAATATTCCTAATATGTTCTTTGTTTAGTAGAATATTATTAATATGATCTTTGGTTGCAACTTAGTCCGGTGAAGATATTATAATTTAAAAACCATTCAGACTAATTAGTGCATAGACTAATTTTTCTAAGTTTAATTGGAATGGAAGTATGTTTCTTGAAGTTTTTGCATTTAAACATGGATATGTAAGATTAGGTGATGTACCCTTTATTTTCTCTGATATAATCTGCCCGCTGTAGAATGACTAACAAAATACGATGAATTGTCAGGTAAATGTGACATAAAGTGATATACTGATACAATTTGGATTACAAAAAGTGTTGAAAGCATAGAGAGATATACTATTAAAAATTCTCATTTTTCATGGGAATATTTTTGCAAAGTTTTTGTAAAAATTGCAAGAAATAAGTTTTCTATAAATTTAAACAATTTTTTGCAAGACATTTGGAAGAAAAAAACTAGTTTTCTAGTAGTGATATATTGATATAATCTGGATTATATAAAGTGTTGAAAGGAAAAACTTTTGACATAGAATCAATTAAGCATCTCCATGGCATTTGTTATAGAAAATAATGATTTTTTTCTAGCGGTAATTATGTAAGGGCATTGACTAATATTAATGCAGGGTGTGTGATAATTATACACGAGCATTGATGCATGTGTGCAGTAAAAGAAAATTCAATTTTTGGAATGGTTTAATTTAAAGTGAGTATATTCTTTATGATGGAATATAAATGATTGCTGGTGTAAGCAACAGAGATAAAAAGGAATATATGTTTATTTTAATCATGGTGGAAATTGCTGGATTGATGAAAATAATACGTTTTGAAAAGTATCACATCCAGTGGCGGATCTTGACCATTGACCTTAGGGGGCCAAATAATATATTATTAATAAATAATAAATAAATATAAAATGAAGAAAGAAGATGAAAGGGTAAAAAGATAAAATTATAGATATATACTTAAATATATTAAATGATCATTAAGTTTGAGGGAACAAGATCATAAATTATATAAGAGTTACAAAACCGAGGAGAGGCTGAAAGGATAAAATTGTAAATATACAAGTAAATATATTAAATGTTCATTATGTTTGAGAGGGACCAAAATCTTAAATTACATGAGATTTACAAAACTTTGGGGGGGGGCCACGGTCCCCTCAGCTCCCAAGAATCACATCATATTCGATAAACAATGGAGTGAATGATAGTAATTATATTTGACTATTCTTATACTCTTATACTATAGTGTTATGAATATATTTTTGAGATCAAAGGAATAAAAGAGTAGTCTATGTGTTATAAATTATTTTACATAGTATTATTTTCTAGTTATCATTAGATAATGATTGTGATTTTTTTTTCGATTGTAGAGTTTCTATCTTATATTTTTGTGTTGATTGTTTTTCTCTTATTTTTTTTTGTTGTAGAATTTTCAGATCTCATCACTACTGCTACTATTTTAATGAACATATATTTGTTTTTTATTTTCCTCTGTTTTCTTAATATTTTATAATTATTTTTTAACTAATTTTTATAACAGTTTCTTTATACATTTTTATTCTTTTATCCTTAATATTTTAGTAATAGTTCAATAACGAAACTGAGTTTATTAACTTTTTTTTATCATTATAGAAATACTATTAGAGAACCCAATAGCCTATAAAGATAATAACTATTTGTAAGGTCATATATAAAATATGTATGAAAAATAGTTACGTAGGTGAGTAACTCACAAAATAAAAGTTGACGGAGCACGCAATTTTGTAAGTTGTTGAGGTTCACGTAGGATTTAAAGTGATCTAAGGAGAGGGACATAAAGCATGAAGATGGATCTTGTTCCTTGGAATTTCTTATATCAAACCATGAAAAACGTCACCATTTCCAATTAAATATTGTGGCATGTCACAGTCAATACAATTTTGTTCTGCACGCGGTTGGCTTTATAGAAGGACAAAACCATCACATTTGAACGGAAGAAAAATTTGCATCTGGAATTGGCAGAAAGTCAAAGCAAGTCGCTTCCTTTCATGGAAAACCCTAAAGCATTATATCACTTTGGATCAGAAAATCAAACCCTAGTACCCAACTCCCAGTGATGGAGGAATTTGCACGAAAGACACACAATAATGAAACAAAATGAATATATATTTTTATAAACAACGGAGAAAGTATCAGCACACCTAAATGGTTTAAACTAACATTATTTTCCGTAGAAAAATGTTACCTTTAGACAACCCCACCAAACACTCCCACGTGCAAAGTTCATCTTCTCCAATCCTCCATTCAAAATTTTAACAACGCCTTTTATAATGGGGTGGTGTTTCTCTGATCAATTCTTTAATCAAGTTAGTCAAGTTGCTTTATGACATTTTAAAAGGATAAATATAATATTCTAGGGTTTAGGTACGTGTCATATCATGTATGGTTGTGCATTCTTTTTAACTATGATGTAAAAGAATGTGCATGCCATGAAGGCTTATGTGTCCCTAAATATATATATATATATATATATATATATATATATATATATATATATATAAATTAGGGTTGGCTTAGTTCGTACGTTTCAACTATTTATTCATTGTGAGAAAGGTTTTGGTAGGGAGAGAAAGAAGGAAAATCAATCAAGCTCTTGCAATTCTCATGAACTGTGGAGTCGTGTTGGGTTTCTATTGTTGGGGTTGGGAGTTCTTAACTGCCCTTCTTCTCTTCTCCACTCATCAACCTTATTGATCCATCCTTCTCTTCTTCCTCTTTTTCTTCTTAAGAAAAACGTACCAATATTTCTTTCAGACAATAACCTAAAATGGAAGGAACAAGTGATAGGGGGTTGTTGGAATGTGGAAGGAAATGCACTCCACCACCGTTTTTGTTGAAGACTTACATGCTCGTGGAGGATCCGGCCACCGACGAGGTCGTGTCGTGGAATGCCGACGGGACGGCGTTCGTGGTGTGGCAGCCGGCGGAGTTTGCTCGTGATCTCCTCCCAACACTCTTCAAGCACAGCAACTTCTCTAGCTTTGTACGCCAGCTCAATACTTACGTACGTAACACCATGAATTAATTCACTCCATACTAGAATATGATAAGTAATTGCATGATTTGCTTCTTCTTCTTCATCTTTTTTTTTTTTTTGTTCATTTGATTTCATATTGAAACCCATGTTTTATTTGCTGATCTGAGAAGATATCCAAAACACGTATGAATTTACTTATTTTAATAACTTTACCTTAATTAAATTACGCATTTAACTCTTGTGAGTGAAATAAAGATTAAGTTTGATTTTTTATGTATATGTAAATTGGTGAGAATAGTTAGGTATATATGGAGTAAAAAAGTCTAAAATATCTTCTTCTTTTTGTAAAGACGAACATTAATTTAGAGTGAATTATATTTATGAAAGTTTTAAAGTAAAATTATGGTAAGTACAGCTGAATTTCTCACTTTAAACATGTGTATAATGAATTAAATCCTCAATTAGAATTTCGTCAAATAACAAGAAAATGAAAGGGAATTTCGGCTATTAAGTTTTATTGAGAAAAGAAAAAAAGAAGAAGTTTTCTTTCAGTGATGGAACTGGTTACTGATATTTGTTTGACCTGGCTTAGGCTTTAATTAGTTTATACTTTTCTTCTTTTATTAGGAAGGAAGGAAGAACTTGATGTTAAGTTTCTTATTTAATTAAGAAGAGATGGAAGGAAAAGTTTTCGTGATGGTGTAAACTTTAACAGTTGTGAAAAAAATATAAAAAGGATAAAAATAGAGTAAAAGAATGTAAAATAAAATTAGAAATTTAATAAAGGAATAAAAAACATAAATTGTAAAAAATAAGTGTGAAAAGAATATAATTGTTTCATGCATTGTGCCAAGTCTTCTAGAAAAGAACCAAATCATTGAATGAACATGAAGATTATATAAAACATAGTTCAGACTGCAATGTCTGTTTGTTCGTTTGTTTGTTTTGAATTCTTACCTTTGTTTACGGCATACACGTTGATGTGATTTGTCTGGTGAGAGGCTTCGAGGAATGAATTGCATACCTACTTATCAAACTTTCAAGTCAAGCACTTAAAAAGTCAATTTCAGTGGGCGTGACGTGCATGACTTAGTAACATTTTTTCTATTAAATAAATTTTTATAATGCGATTGTCAACTTTTTCTTTTCTTTTCTTAATTTCTTACATACCAAATTTGAACCAAAAAATGAGTTGGCAAGTTAAGCTTTACCTAAAAATGATGGAAATTGGGTGTATGTTTAGACCTATTTCCATTGGTGCATGAATTATTATAGCTTCTTTTTCACTTTTCTATGACTTGGGTTTTGGTCCATATTAGTTACACAATTTTCTTTCAAAGTTGACACCAAAACTAACAAAGCATTAGATGCACATGTGTAGGGATTTCGTAAAGTTGCAACAAACAGATGGGAGTTTTTCAATGACAGGTTCAAGAAAGGTGAAAGAGAACAGCTATATGAGATTCGGCGAAGAAAAGCTTGGAGCAGCAAGCAACAAGCTAATGCACCAAACCAAGGCACACCTCAAGATTCTGATGAAGATCAAAGGTCCTCATCAACCTCATCATCTTCTGGCTACACTACTCTTGTGGATGAAAACAAGAGGCTGAAGAAGGAGAATGGGGTGTTGAACTCTGAGCTCACAAGCATGAAGAGGAAGTGTAAGGAACTGCTTGGTTTGGTGGCCAAATATTCATCACAGGCTGAAGAGAAGGATGAAGATGAAAGGCCAATGCTGTTTGGAGTTAGATTAGATGTTGAAGGAGGGAGGGAGATGAAGAGGAATAGAGCTGAGATAACTGAAAGCGCAAGCATTATGCTGTCTCAGTCATGCAAATAGATGTGCTATATATACATATACACAAGCTTAGAAGTATTTGAGTTTAGATACTGAAAAGGAATAATCTTATATTTGATTAGTTAGGTGGGATTTGCAAAGAGTATTTTCCCCATATGGCTAATGTTGTAGTTACTTTGGATATATCATGTTTAGTGCATCAGAATACACCCTCAAGCATATGATCGATGTAATTATTAATGTGATTTAGGATGATGACACATAACTAAAGTAGGCTAAAAGAAGGGGCCATTAATTAGTTCATTGCTCTGTAATGTGACAAAGAACACTTGGAGTGGAGAATAATAGTTTACAGGACTTCATGAAAGAAAATATTTGTGAAAATCTATGTTCTCTGAGTGTACGTGAAATCTATGGTAATTATGTTTCTCATCTGATTTGTTTTGTTTGGTAAAAAATGTTTTTAATTTAAATAAAAATGTCAGGTTTAAGGGTTAAAAGAATTAATGAAAATGTGTTAACTAAATCTTTATATTTTGACCTAATAAAACTAGTCTCTATTATATTTGCAACATGTTAGAAAAGAAACAATATATAAATTCAAAAACCCACACGGAGAAAACAATAGAAAACAGAGAAGCCAAGCTTGTGACAGAGAAAATTAATATGAGATGTTTGAAGATGAAGGGAGGTTAACAAAAAAGGTAGGGTGAAATTAATAATAATAATAATAATAATAATAAAAAAAAAAAAATATATATATATATATATATATATATATATATATATATATATATATATATTGATTAGAAGAACAAATGTAAGGAAATAATCATTTTTCTAGAAATTTTTAAGTAATGTGATAAATATGTTATTTAAGCGTAAAAACTTTATGGAAAAAAAATTCTATAACTTCATAAAAAAAAATTGACATTATAAATTTTGAATTTTCAGAAAAACAAAGTTCACACTTTTTTTTATTTTTTTCTTTCTATGTCTGTGTATATCTGTTCCTTTTATTTTTTATTTTTCCCTTCTATATATCCTTTCTAGATTGGTAAATTTTTTTTTATGAATATCCCCAAGAAAAATCATAAATATAAAGTAATTTAAATGGATGTTCATTGACAACCATGTCATTAGGGGGACAAAAATAGATTCGGTCTGTCTAAAAAAATGTTGATGAGATAGGTTGGTGGCTCATCTATCAATTTAGTGGGTTAATGAAAGAATAAGATGGACTGATATGTTTTAAAAAAATATTTATATATTAAATTAAAATAAAAAATTATAATTAAAAATATTATAATTTTTTTATATTATTGACATATATAAATGTATTATAATATTATAGTATTATAGTTTTAATTATAAAAATTAATTAATTATAATTAATTATTTTAATATATAAATATAATATTATTTTAATTTATCTAATAAAAATATCAATTAATAAATAAAAATTATTTATATAATTAAAGATATATTTTTAAACATATATAAATAAAAAAATTATTGACGATCATATTCAACTCATTTTAAATCGTGATATCATATTCAAAATAGTGAAACTGATCAAATTTAACAGCTGTAATCATTGTACAACTTTTTTTGAAGACACTCAACAATTAGGCTTTTTGACTTACTTCCTCTTTTTTACATAATTCTTTAAAAAGAAGACCTTTTAAAAATTAATTGCCACGACGTATTTATTTTACCAGCATAAGTTTGGAAATTTTATTTTCAAAGCATAGGTAGCTATACGAACATAAGCAGATATGTGAATATGTTTCCACTTCTTAAGGTTTCCATTACTTAAAGTTTTCACTTTTTAAACATTAGAATACAGGTTAGAGTATGATAAAAGGTACAAGTTCTAAACTTCATTCCACTTCTTTGTCAAAGTTTTTTTTTTTTTTTTTTTTTTTAACTATCAACATGAACATTCTTTAAAAAGTTACGAAATTGATTAAATGAAATTGAAGTTAAGAAGTTACAAAATTAATTAAATGAAATTGAAAGCACAACTTCATTAAAAATGAAGGAAATCTTATTTCCTAACAGGAATTTCATTTTTTATTTATTGTTTTAAATTGAAACTATACTACATAACATTTCACATCTTCTAGTTTTTTTTTGTACAAAATAAAGTCTGTAAAATGACTTTGAATTTTAATTATGTTTTAAAAATAATCGTAGTATTAAACATGATATTAAAGTTTACTTACACCATAATATTTACTTTACTACATAAGAGCTAACACGACTTGTAATCTACAAATTATTTATTTTTGTAAAATACACCTAAATAACTGAAGTTAGCACGACTTCTAATCTATAAATTATTTTTTACCAAAATCTTTGAAATTGTTCTATCCGAATATAATATTTTTGTCACAAAATTTTAAACTCTTCAAAAAAAAAAAAATTACCCTCCAAAAATTTTTCACGCAAAAAAATTAAATTAAGTTGTAGAGGGCTGCGGAGAGCATAGCAACAGACAACTCTCCCTGTGAGTGTTGCAACGGAAGAAGATTAACTGAAGATAAATCCTAACTGCGGATCTATTTACAATTCTATGGCATTATAAATTGACTGTACAATATGCCGGAGAAGTGGAGTGTTATCATTTTGATACATTTAGTACGCTATAACCAATAAGCAGCAATTTATGGAAGGAATTGTTAAGTGAGGACACCCTCATGCATTTGCTGCAAAATGATTAAATATTGTCTCCAGAGTTGATTGACTGATGCTGTACTCCGCAATTCCTAATGTATTCCTGTAAATGATATTTTTTGATAGAATTTAGTCACTTTGTGATGAGCAGGAAAAATGAAAACAAGGGCCTTGGATTTACCTATTTCTTTCAAGAAGTCCAAAAACATCTGCCAAGGAAAAATCCTCATTATATGGCAACTGCAGCAAACAAAAGATGAATACTATATGCACCGTAAAGTTAGCCTGGATAAACTGCATTCACATGCATATACAAATGTTCCACCTTTGCCTAAGCAAAGTGAAGATTCTAAAACTATATTATATATGTACATACACGTATAACTGTATATAACAACTTAAATAAGAGAAGAAAAACGCATGTAATACAACATATATTTAATTAAGCTTAAATTTATAATCATAGATTTATAAGCATATGAAACTCGATGCCTAAACCCCATACAAAACTCAACTCACAAGTCAACTTTAAATAATGTAGTTAGCCAAGTGAAAAAGTATGTTTTGGGACTTGGGTTACAAAATGGAATTTTCCTCTAGGATAAAATAACAATTAATAACTTCTATGACCAATTAAAATATTTTGTCTAATTTTCATTCAATACCAATTACTTTGTTAACTTTTTAATTGTCATCCAATAAGTAGTTAGTATGTTACCTAAACGATTAAGTGATGTATATAATGATGTATATGGTTTTATTTGCAAAAGAAAATAGATTTCATAAAAGATCATAACTAATCGAAGATGTCTAAAATCATAGACATCGAGATTGCAAAAATTTCACTAATCTTATGTTTTGATAAAGAATTTATAAAGGATAGTATTTGAAGTGCTTAGTGACAAGATTTGTTGTGTGGATAGAAAATTTGAAAATAAATTAAAATTCTATAAGTTGACGATGGTATTTAAGAGAATTTCAAATTTCATCTAAAATGTAAGAATTTTAAATTCTCCATTTTTTTCCTTTCTCAAATTTATATCTCTTCTCTTTATATTTTTTCTTTGATTCAATCTTGATTGAAATATTTTTTACTCATCTCAACCTATTTTAACACGGACCGATCCAGCTTGAACTAGATCAGTATGGCCTAGCCCAACCCATCTTGACTTAGTTTGAATCAACCCAATACATCATGATCATTATCGAACCATCCTGACTTGATTGCTCTCAATTTGGTCCATCTTACATTAGTCTCACTCATCTTATATTGGTCTGATCCAACCTATCTTAACCTCATCTAACCCATTTCAACTTGACTTGTCCTAACCTAATTTAATCCTTCTTGATTAATTTCGACCTAACTAGTAAAAGTAGGCTTGATCCACTTGACCCAACCTATCCTAACTTGACTCATCTTAATCTGGTCCGTCCTAATCTGACAAATCTTGTCTTGGTCTGACCGACTTGACCTATCTGGATTCAATTTGACTCAACATTGTCCAATTCGTCCTAATCCAGCTTGACTCATCTCAACACAATCAAACATGATCCGACTCATTCTAACCTGTTAACCTAACTCAACCAGACTCAATCTTCCTAACTTAGTATAATTTGTTTTAATCAAACCTAACTTTACCAATTTGGTATGTCCCAATCTCACTTGACTTGATATAGTTTGTCTTAGTCCAACTTTATCCATTTAGATAAGGGTCAAGTAATGTGAATTTGTCTAAGTCACAATATAATAATAATTTTGATAATTTTTATATTTGCCAGTGTTTGAAATAGTTTATTAAAAAAAACAAAAAATCAATCAAATTGAATTGTCTTTATCCAAACAAATCTTTTACAAAATGTAATAATTTTAAATAAAAGGAATTCAAATTTAGTATATTTGAATTTCCTAAAAATTACAAAATACCTTTTCCAAACATTACCTAAGTGAATTTTGGACATTATGTGTATGAATTGCTTGAACAAATGTTGCTGGATGACACTTAAACCCACAATATGATACACATCATTTAATGATCCATGTGGTACAAAACTAATGACTTCTCTAAGATGATTAAAAACTTAATAGAGTAATTAATAACGTATGAAAACCAAACAAAATATTTTAATTGTACTAAATAGAAGAATTTGTCATAATTATTGTATAAAAAAATATTTTACCCTTTCCTCTATTTATAGGTATTGGGTTTACCCAGAATATGCGATTGCTCTCATTTAATTAACCCCAGAAATACCACTGATGAGGGTGCCACCACAGGCAGCTTTCTCTCCATGTACCAGAGGCATTCTGACATTCCCATTTCAGCAGATTTAGAGTAATTTTGAACAATATATATGGAGACAATTGAATTTATTTTCTCTGAAATGAAATCCAAGAGGACATTGGCGCCGGATTAAAATAGATTAGAGAGGGAGAGAACAGATATTGCTGACGAGGGAAAGAGTAGAGCAGAAATGGGGATAAAATAAAAGAGAAGTGGGATTTTCATTCTGTATTGCGTTAGTTTCCGTTAATATCTAAGTGAAACTAGTCTACCTTCGAATTTAAATAGTTAAAAAATTTTCACAGGCATTCACATTATCGGATGTGAGGATTTTTCAATTATAACAAACAATAATTTCCGTTAAAAAAGCTGGTAACTTAAAAATACCTGATATCTGATGCTCAAACCATTGCACCCTTGGCATCGTGCTCCCCCAAATGAAGAGAGAATAAATGAATCAATTTCGGAGAATTTTTGTTTAGATAGCCACCACTCAGAAAATACAGGCAATGGAATACCACCTATTTATCAACACAAAAGAAAAAGGGAAATTAATACTAGAAGAGAACTTATACACTTTTTAAGATTTAAAAATAAAAGATCACTGTGATATCATCATGAACCAACTCTCCAAAAAGCTACTGTTATATTACAGCAGTAAGAAATAAAATAAGCTTCAATCATAATCTAAAATTACTTATACATGAGATAATTTGAAAAAGCTATTTTCTTTAGCTTCTCCAAAATTTGATTTTAATATTTGCATAAATTATAACTTAAAAAGAAACTTATATCACATTTTCTTTTTATTTCTTCTCCTATGAGTGTTCATGGAAAAATTTATCCAAATAGGATTTAGGTATGATGTGTATGAAGAAATACATTATGAAGTTTACAAATATATGCACAGTATTAAGTATGAACTACAACGAAGATATTTAGTTTGAAAACCATCATGCAGTTCACATGGATCTTTTTCAATTAAATACACACAAGACATATCACTCACACATCTCTGCTTCAGTTATTACATGATAATTAATTTGAAATTGAAATTATCAATTACATTTTATTATTTTAATCAAATAAGGTTTCGATTAGTTATGTATACTAACACACATTAAACAACATAAGAAATCATTCTTGAAAAAATGACGAGAGTGAGATGCACATCCTTTTCCAGGTATAGCCATTTCCAACAAGAAAAAAAGGATGGTTGACTTTGAAAAGTTTCCAACGATGAAGAAAGAAGAAAAGTCTTCAATGGGAGATTCAGACGTACCACCTCGAAACAGTTGTTCTGATAATTGTTCCTGGGAAACTCCATCACAGACAGGTGTGCAAGAGATTAGTGTCTTTACTCTTTCTTCATTGCCAAGCCAGCGCCCAATTAAGCCTATCATTTCTCGAGTCAGGCTAATCTCTGCAATGGAGGTATTTCCTGATGTGACAGAGTCAGTTCCCCCAATGCAAATCTCAAGGTCATTAAGTAAGCTTCTAGGATGTGACGGGACATCAAGAAGTCTTTCTTGAATAGCTTGGCAGAGTGTTTGCAAGTCCACGGAACTAACTTCGGTAGGTTTGACCTGAAAACAAGGAAACTGAGAGTTACATACTTGAAGATGCTTTTGTCAAGGAAAAATGCCTTTTGTCACTGTAACCATTAATACCTCTAGCTCAAGATGATTCCCAAATCTTGTTTTTAGGTGCTGTGGACTTCCGATGCATCGTAATCGTCCACCAACCTTCAGAAAAAAAAAATATAATAGGCATAGGATTTGGGTGCAAGGAAAGGCTTCAAGAGTCAAGAAACGAAAATAATTTGTACCATTATCCCTATTCTGGTACATAATGCTTGGGCTTCATTCATGCTATGTGTAGTCAAAATAACTGCAGTCTTTCCTCGTCTTGTTGAGATCCTAGATATTACATCCCACATGAACCTTTTGGCAATCGGATCCATACCTAAGTATAAAAAATCAGTGCCGACAGATATTGCTTTTTCAATTCATCAACATAGCAATATGTCTATATGTAGCTTAAAAATACACTTTTTCCCTGAAATGAGAGGTCCCATTGCTTTGTATCAAAAATAATCAGACTCATCCTAAGACCCACCCGTCAGTTTGAGCTTGTGGGCTAAATACAAGATTAGAAAATAAATATGCATGAAATTATTTTAAAACAAAAATTTTAATCTAAGGATTGAGGGCAACGAATGTTCAAATCTAGACTACTACTGGGATGTCATAGCATCTCAAGGAACCGATTGAACTAAAAGTTTAAGCTTTTAAATCAAGCAGCAAAGATAATTTGTTAAGAGGTTGTATTGATTAAAATGGTAAAAATGCATTTTCATGATGTTTAAAGAAATATGATAATTAAGAATAACTGCTATTGTACCTGTGGATGGTTCATCAAGAATGACTATAGGTGGATCACCTATCATTGCAATTGCAACAGACAGTTTTCTTTTATTCCCACCACTAAGCGAAAATGATGGTTTATTAGCATGTTTCAACAAGTCAAACTCAGTCAACTTTTCCATAACGACCTGCCCAAATAATCATAGGCAACCAATGACAATATAATACAATATAATGAGGAATCAAATTACACCAATGGTCACACAAAAGGAGTTAATCTTCATTCTCATCATCTTTATATATATATATATATATATATATATATATATATATATATATATATATTGATGGAAATTAAGCAAACAAAATCATTTAAAGCATATTTTATTTTGTTTGGGAGAAAATAGTTAGTAGGAAGTCACTTCTGTAATCATCCTATAGATCAATGTTAGGCATCATAAACGGAATAAAATGTACTGAGAAATCAATGTGTGTTATACCATTTATGTATTTGTATTTATATATAGGAGAGTACAAAATAAAAGGTACAATATTTTGTGGTGGATCTCCTGCCAATGGGATAGTCAGGCCAATCTACACCACAATACCCTAAGACTTGAGTATTTCCCTTTTTCTCATACAACAATCCTTGTTCTAGGACCCCTTTTACATATCTAAGAATGTGAATCACAACATTCAAGTGAACAATGTGAGGATTCTGCATGAATTGGTTAAAAATCCAATTGCATAAGTGAGTTTTTCATGTTTTGCCACTTATGTATTTCTATTTACAGATAGGAGAGTACAATACAAAAGGTACAATATACTGTGGTGAATCTCTTGTCAATTGGATAGTTACCCCAATTTGCATTACAATACCCTAAGGTTTGAATATTTCCCACCACCTCCTATATCTATTTGGATCTAAGAAATTTCACCTAGGTCTCCCATTAATGGATAGTGATGGTCAGGTGATAGATGATGATAGAGCAGGATCATACCCACTTTGGTACCAACTTGAATAAAATGTACTGGGAATCACTGTTATACCACTCTTGTATTTGTGATTTGTGTATATAAATACACACACACGTGTGTGTATATATATATATATATATATATATATATATATATATATATATATATATATATATATATATATATATACACGTATATATAAAATAAGAGATATACTCTTACAAAGTTGGAGATGGGTAAAATTTGACAAAGCACTGGTTGGTTTCTCTCGTTGCATTGGTTGTATTCCATGGATTTTAATTTCTGCTGGATGTAGTGGAGTTTGGTTTTCTCCCAGTCTCCTCATGTACATTGTTCAAGGCTAACACAGATAAGTTTGACATTATGGTGAAGAAGTTATCTTTAAGAGCAAAATTGTTTGAAATGGCTAACTGACAGTTAGCATTATATATTGTTCAATGTTTGTGCTAAAATATTTTTATGAAACTCTTTTCATTTAGGGTATACTTTAAATAATTTTATTTCAATAGAATGTTTAGACTATATAAGATGTAATGTTTATATATTGTAAGATGTAATGTTTATATATTGTAATTACTTTGCTTTTCTAATAACTTTTATCTCATCATTTAGATGAAAGTGTAAGTTTATGTAATTTCTAAGTAATTTGGTATGAGATTATGAATTACAAGATTATGCACCATAAAGATATTTAGAAATTTCTTACACATACATTTTCTAGTGCAAAATCTGGAACACCTTTTATTCTAGCATAAAGCTCAAGATGCTCTTGAACAGTTAAGTATTCCAATAGGGCATCAAATTGTGGACAATATCCAATCTGAGAGTAAAAAATAAGATAAACAAGAAAGGGTTAGAAGGATTCAGGTATATCTTAAATTTGTAAATGTAAGCTTCAACAGTGAAGAGCACATACATATTGACGAGCAGCCTTTGGATGGGAACATATATCTTTGCCAAAAATAAAAGCAGTCCCACCAGAAGGAGATTCTTCACCTATTTGGAAAAGCAAAACAAAACTTAAATAATAAACCCAAATGAAATGGAGAGAAATGCGAAGTTCACAGGTCTTAACAGTGAGAAATTACAATTACAAAATTCAAGGTTATCAAACTCTCGAGTCAACTCGCTGACTCTTACGAGTTAACGAGTCAAATAACCAGATACGAGTTAACTCGTGAGTAAACTCTTTTTTGAGTAGACTCTGAGTCAAACTCGGTGAACTCGGTAGACTCTAAGTAAACTCTCGAGTTAGAGGCGAGTCACCGAGTTTGAAGAAAAAGAAAAACTTAAATCTTCTTTGACTCTCATCATTTTTTTTCATAAGTTCAGATCTCGCTCCTTCCCACTATCCGTCGCTACTTATCATCGTCGTGGTCGTCGCCGCGTGCTTGCCCTTGGTCGCGCAGTGGTGACGCGACGCTCACTTGGTCACGCACGTTCACCTGGGTCACGGGGTGGTGCACGACATTCACTTGGGTCGTGCGGTGGTCACGTTCCTTGTCGTTGCTCGCCGTTGCGCATCGTTCTCTAGGTTAGATTGACGAATTGAGGGGTTTGTGATTTTAGGGTTTTTGAATAAATAAAACAGGTTAGATTGAGATATTAAAGGATTTGAGATTTTAGACGTTTAAGATTTTTTTAATTATTTTTTTAATTTTGATTATACTATTGTACAAATTCAATTAAGTTTTTATTTTGATTATTTTAATAATGAGGAATTAATATTATTATATTTATTATTAAATTGGTATTTTTCATATAAAGTAAACTCTTACGAGTCTACGAGTCAAGTTTACGAGTCGAGTTTACCAACCTCTCACGAGTTTACGTAGACTCTCGAGTCTAATAACCTTGACAAAATTCTTTTCTATAGGTATAATTGTCTGAAATTTATTAAATTTTGCCTAGCATCAAAGTTCATCACCTTAAGATAGAAGATTGAAATTATGCTGTGATGTAAATACAAAACCATATATTTATCAGAGAACAGAAGGGAAGAATCTATTCATGTTTTCATCTGTCAAGTAAGTTAGCTTTCAACAATTCAAATTTTAACAATTTTTGCTTCTTTGGCAGCAAATTCATTAATATCTAGGTATTACTTAGGCTGGTGATCCTGAGGGCCATTCCTTTTGGGAACCTGTCATTTGAGATCTTTCTAAGAGACTGGAGATAAAAAAAGATGATTATTTTGCTATCGGCAGTCATATGTACCTAATTCAGTCATCTTTATCTAGTATGAGAATTTTCTTTCGTTTGAAGTCACTGCTACATGTGCCACCCCTCTCCTTGGCATGTGTAAGTGACACGCCACTTTTGCACACTGCCCACTTGCCGCCATCACAACAGTAAGCATGGCCAGCAACCACCTGAACCCAATATCCTAATAGTTTCCTTTTACCTTGAACAGATAAACACCGCTGCCAATTTTGGCAAGGTTTAGAAAAGAATTACTCCCTCTAGCCCTTGGGTTCCAGTGATATTTCTAATAGAATAGAATCTTCTTCTATATTCAATATATATTTGTAACTGTATGGATATATTTTCTTCTTTCCTAACATTTCCTGTTTCCCTTTATTTTTAGTTTGCCTAGCTTATAAAAGGGGACTAATGCTTGTATTGCAAACACATTGAATATTATTGAGTTTTACCTTTCCATGTTTTTCTCCTTTCAAGCATGCTCCAACAATCTTTAGCAGTTACTATGGGTTGATTTTACAAGATTTTCCACCAATAGATATGTCAAAAGGATTTTACATTGTCGTAATGTATGTCCTTAGTAAATTTACAGAGCAGTTCTCCTACATAATTCTGCTATTTATCATTTAGAAGAGTATCTTCTACATTTAAAGAGACATCAGCTTCCTATGTTGCATGTCTCCTGTCCTTAGCTTTTGTTTTCAATCTTTTTTTTAAGGTTTCAATATAAAACCAATTGCCAATATGTGGAGTAATCTAACAAGTATTTAAATCATATCATACCAAATGACATGAGATAGGTGATGTAGGACTTCCAACACACCCCTCTAATGAAGCCTTCCGGACCAGGAAAAGGGTACTTTTGACCCACGAAAGGGCCACTTTTAGCCCCAAGACAATTACTGGAAAGAGGTTAGGCTTTGACTCTGATACAATGTTAAGGTTCCAACATAAAACCAATTGGCAATATGTGGAGTAGTCTAACAAATATTTAAACCATACCAAATATTTAATTCTCATCCTCTCACATTTGTACTTTTCTCCATTATCATTAAAAAGTTATCAATAAAAAAAAGAAAACAATGAAGGTTTTTATTAAATACTAAGTTTTCTAGCCAGAAAGTCAAGGCTTATCGCAAGGCATGCAATAGGATATTAAGATCAGAAATCTGATATACCGCATAGCATAGAAAGAGTTGTGGTCTTTCCAGCTCCATTTGTTCCTAAAAAGCCAAAACATTCTCCTTCCTGGACCGAGAAAGTTAAAGAATCTACTGCAACCTTTCTCCCATGATGCTTCTCCTCAAAATATACCTTAAATTCAGAAAATATCACTATAATTGAGCAAGATTATAATGATTTGAAATGCACAACATTTTTCTTTACAAAAAACACACTGAAGTAAATAATACTAAGAAATACCTTACGAAGATTGCGCAGGTAGATAATGGAATTGTCAAGGGAACCTGAAAGTACTCTATTTCTTTCTGTTTTTACATCTACATCTTCATCTATCTCAGTAACAACAATTTCAGAGGAAGGTTCTAGCAGAGGTTCCAAATAAGGACTGTCATGCCGGAAGATATTAATTTTTTCCCACCACTTTTTGATCATGAATGAAGTCAATTTGATAGAAGGAAAAATTTCAAGTGCAAGAGTCAACAGAAAGTAACTAACGCTCTGTCACACATGAATAAAAGGGATTAGATAGAGCAAAATATTTTTGTCCAAATTTATCTGTGTCATACTAATGAGTTTTGTTAACATTATTGAGAAACAAAACAGTTAGTACAACTTTGTTTTTTCAATGTAATAAATACTTTGTTTCCTAATAAAAAATTGTATAGTTTTAGTTTCTTAAAATCAGCCCCAGGGTTGATGTAAACAAAAAACCTTTTATATATTAGTTTTCAGTTTTAAACCTTAAAACTTGGTATGTCAATAATAAGTAATGAAATAGCAGCAAAATTAGACTAAAAGACTTGCACCTCAACAGCAAGATAACAGATGGAAGCCCCAGTAACATTCCAATCAAACACCCCATGACTTGTTTTATCTTTCATTCCTTGCCGCAAAAGAGCTAATGAAGCAAGACCATCAGCAAAACAAAATCCAGGAGATATTCTGAAAAAATTCTGGAAGAGAACATCAAATACATATCATTATGCAGCGCTTGCCACAGTGAGTGCAAAAAATGCAATTCAAGCAGCTAGAAACAACTTATATATAATTTCAAACCCTGTTCTTTTACTTTGTGCCAATATACAGTCTAAATGACAATAATATTTTGCCCAAACATATCAGTTATTCTTATCCTAGTAGCCAACTTCTTTTGACCAGAAGTTGCCCCAATCCCTTTTCATATATATTGTACAAAATCTGCCTTAATAGCATTCTCAAAGATTGTGGTTTAGTCCCTTATCAATTTGAGATATGAGAAATAGAACTTATAAATGTCAAATACCACATTCACTATTGATAGAACCTGAAAATGTAAATAAGTGGAGAGCAATTCTCACCTCAAACCAATTTGTTTGAATTGAGTTAGGCCAAAAGCCAAATTTTACTATTGTATCAGAATCTGTCCTAGATCCACTAGAAGGGTATTTGTACAAAGAAAAACCCAAGCCCCACAATAATAAGAGATAGAGCTTGAAAAGAGTTTATATATAAATCCAGGAGAACCCTCACCTGAGAAGTTAGTTTTGTAGGATGGAATTTGACTTTAAGACTCATTTTACAAGTCTGATTTGTGAGAGCGTTAAAAAATATGATTTAGGCTCTTGATATCATGTGAAGATATACAGAAAAGAGTCATAAAATGGAATCTATGTATGTTACTACACATATATATATATATATATATATATATATATATATATATATATATATTACAATAATATTTTGTTTAATTTACAAGAGTTGTTGTTATTTACTAGGATAGTAGAGGTGCTATAATTATTACGATAATATATATATATATATATATATATATATATATATTATGATACTATTTTGTTTAATTTACAAGAGTTGTTATTTACTAGGATAGTTGAGGTCTTATGATTATTATTAGGATAGTTGACCTACTATAATTATTACCGGTTTATTTAAGGTGTCTAGAGTACTCTATAAAAAGAACATCATTGTGTTGCTTTTAATTAAGAAATAAAATTACATGTTTCTCTTCTTTGGCATCTCTTCTAACTTTTTCCAATTGGTACCCGAGTTCCCAATCAAGGGGGCTCCGCTTGTACATTCAAATCCTAGCCGCCTTAGTTGCAGATTCTCTTTATAAATTTTGGGTTTCCTAAACTGCTCCCAAGTTACTTGTCATTGTGTTGGAATTCCTATTACTATCTAAAAATTCCTCCAGATGGGTCGGTTTGATTTTGTTTGGATCTACTCATGGATTCCTACCTTTTTAAATATCTACTAGCATGGCTACTAGTGCATCTTCAACTATGTCTCCATTAAGAAATGTTGATCTTCCACATTTTTCTAAAAGCAATTGTCTCAATGGTAGGAATTATCTTCTTCGTAGCGTCCAATTCATTTGGCACCCATTAAAGGGCAGATTTAGGGGTCCACAACTACAAAGATCAGCCAAAATTACATGTTTTACTCTACTGTTTGAGAGATTTTACATGATTTAGGAAATACTTACTTTATGAGACAAGATATTTTCACTTTCTACGAAGTAGAAAGTAAGATATTCAGGGCAGACACTCTCTTGGTTGTTGACTACAATGGGGTGCTAAAGGAACCTTGGATTGAGCTCCACTTGTCCATCACCCTGTTGTATCTTTCGTGCAAATTACCTCAACGTGATGACTACAATCACTCTAGCATTGCTTGGTCACGTACCTCAATCGACTACTATTGCTCAGGCTCCCTCTCTACCCGATGATTCTAGATCCACTCCATTTAATTTTTTGTTGCCTATTCTTCTCCATGACTTCCAAAAATTGTACGAGGAATGTCAATCCTTTGGTTCCACTACTTCTATAGCACCTCATGATCTGAGGAAAATTAATTAGGGACATATCTTACTCAAATATTTTCCATTATTAGTGATTATGCTCATGTATACAAGATACAATTACAAAAATCCTTTCAGTAGTGATTAAGTTAGACTGTAAAACCATATTCTAATATATACATATATATAAAATAACAATGACAACCCATGATGGTGATCTAAAACTGATCACATGTGATAGAAAGAAAAGTAGAAAGCAGTGACAGTAGTAAGCAATTTACAAAGAACAAAACTGGGAGCTAAAATGGTGAACATATTTTTTTACTTCTTTTTTTTTTTTCTGAAAATTAGTCCACTAAAATCTTTTCCCCTGTTTTTGGTGGTTCAGGAAAATGAATTAGCCCAAGTAAGACAAAGAAATCATGCTGGAACATTTAAGAAAAATAAAGGGCGTACCTTAAGAAAAGAATTTGTACTTATTGTTGATGTCATGAGTCCCATAATGAATGAGATAACCATTAGTATCAATCCGGTGAAAAAGTGGATCAAGAGAACCACGTTCTGTAAAACAAGTGAATATCTTAGCATTTATAACAATTATAACTACCGAATAAGAAAACAAGACCTCCCTATACCTGAGCCATGGTGTGGTCAAAAAAGAAAAATGTAAGGCAATAGGTTGATGATGCAATTGCAAGTCCATATTCCAACAGCATGAGAATTGTTGGTAACAAAGAAACCCCTCCCACAAACTGCTCTAGACCTACATACAGTAGCAAGAATCGCATTGACATAGTAGTTCATCCAAAATGGCAGCACAAAGAAGACAATTCCAAAAGCATTACAGCAGAAAACAACTGCTATTCTGAAGTTTCCTTACAAATTACACAAGTTCCTACACAAAAAATATATGTTGAAAAAATAACACCCTAAAATTAAATATATTCCTGATGGATGAATGAATCCAACTCTGTTGATCAAAGGGAAGAGGATACCCAATTAGAATATGAATAAATAAGAAGTTAAATTTTTGAGCTATGAAAAAAACAAAACAGTGAAAAAACACCTATTAGACTTCGAGAGTGGTGAAAGAACAAAGGATAAAAAGAGCAATGTCAGGGGTTGGCCGGAACAGTGACAAGCTATCCCATAAATGGTGCGAAGATGTTGTGTTACTATGGAAATCTCACCAGAGAAAAATGGGCCTTCAGGTTTGGGGTCCCTCTGAGCGGGAAGGGCACATAAGTGCAGGAGGGGATTGGTGTTTCTGATATGACTGAATGAAAATGGGAGTGAATCCCAACATTCTTCCCCAAAATAGCACAGAACTACACCATTCTAGGGCCCGATAGGGAATAGACATAACCCTATGACCTTTATATCACACGACAGAATATCATTGGACCAATGTTTGCCCACCCCAATAAAATAATAAATTTTATTGAAAGAGATATTATTGAAAGATAGGTCAAGCAAGCAAAACTTGCCAATCTCTCTGTCCAAATCTTAGTAAATAAGCCAATCGACTTGGGTTCGCAATCATGTTAATTTTGCTAGCAAATTAAGTATGCAGACAAAAACTAATTACTAATAATAATTTGGATACATACCAAAGATGTAAAAGAGAACTATGGCAAAAGTGGCCGGTAACAAGAAGCTCACAAAGTCCCAAATATATGTTGAAGCCCAATATGACAGGACAGAAACCTAATTAACAAGTTCAATAAAAGATAATAAAATTGAGATAGAAAAGCATATATTATATTATCTCTCCTTTGAAAAATTATATACCCCACTGATTAGTTGTTGCTGCTTAGCTTTCACTTCACGTTCCTGTACCAATCAAGAATTTACAAAAGTTTAGAACAAGAACCAAGCAATTGGAAATGCCATTAGAATTTGACACTCTAGTAGGAAGAAGTCTCTGGTGAATTCATGACATGTCAAAGAAATATGGACTTCATTTAGAAAAGTGAATATTTGAAAATGAAATTCCTCAATAATCTAATACTGCGAAGAAAGAAACTTCAAAGAGTCTCTTTAAAGAAAAATTCTGGTTTATAAGTTGCTTGTGAAGGAAGGAAAAATATATAACTATAAAGACAGGAAGCAGGAAGCAATTTAACACATCTTACCTTAACAATTGAAACAGCAAATGAGGCGGGTATAAAAGAGAAAGCAATGTTGACAATAACTGCAGCAGAAAAGGCATCCAGGTCCTACAGAATTTCATCTACAGCTTATCAAATCTCTAATTTTCTGAAGAACGTAAAGGGGAGAATATGAAGGCATTGGTCCATTGCCATAGACCATGCACCATGATACTTGAAAACATACACTTCTGTGAAATAAAATAAACATTGGCTTACATGACGTTGTAAGCGCTGGCTTTGTGTCGTTGGTAGAGGGTGGTTGCGTGTTTGAATTGTCATATTTGTGTCTCGAGTTGCAAGCCTAAGAATAGCAGAATTCATCAAATTGATAAAGGTGGGAGCAGCATGTTGACAAGAACTATTGTGTAATACAGTGTATCCTAAGCTTCCATCATTACTTTGATCATCCATCACAATTGCCCCATACCTGAATATCAAAACATAACAATAAGAAAAATAATTATTTTGTCATCACAAAAATTGCATCAGTTGTGTTATCGTAGTTGACAAGTAATAATAATAGCACATACATTAGCCCATTATTTTCTTGGAAAATTACTATCTATTCCAACTGCACAAAATGTTTAAATATGACAACAGATCCTCCACAAGCAGAAAACCCACAGGGCTTGACATGTGGGCACAGCATAGACTTACATCAAGCTTTTACCAAAACTAAAATTTACTTCATGAATACAATTTTAATATTTGGACAGTGAGAGTAAGGAAAAAAGAATTGTCACAATATTGACTTGTAAAGTTTAAAAGAAATCATCCATGATCTCCAGAAGTAAAAGTTAGCCACACTTATAATGGTATCAATGAATAGGAAGAAGGAAAAATTGGCACGGTTTAGGTTTGACAAAAGTAAGGGAAAACTTTAAAAGTGCGAATTTTAAAATAATGAATACACTAGCAAAGCTGAACTAGGACAAAGTTATTGGTGATCTTTATTCTTTGAGAAGCTTATCTTTTCTTGACTTGTTTCCATATAAACAAGCATTCATATTTACAAATAGATTTTGATCTTCCTTTATGATACAATCAGAGACACAGACAAGAAAGATGGAAAAGTATTAGAATCTCGTTTTCTTGGCTACCCTAATACAAATATGGATTCTATGATAATAACAACTATATCCATGGCTAGCACTAAAACTTTTCATTACAATTGCTAAATAGTTCTTAAAAAGGATAAAATTTTAAAATGAAGCAAGAAATTCATGTTTCACACCTAGATTGGTAGGATTCATTAAAGCTAGACATCAAATATTCACTCATTGAAAGTAGAGCAGGTCCCAGAGTTGGCCCTGCTGCTTCCACTGCATCAGCTAATGCTTTTTCTGAATTAGGGAATCTGTACGAGCTTGACTTGAACCTTTGAATCCACCCTCCTATGACATTTTGCGCTACCTTTAACATAATAAAGATTTCAGCAAAACTCAATCAGAACAACCAGACTCCACTTTTATTACCAGCAACAAATCTATGACTACAGAGAAAAAAAAACACAAAAAACGGAATTTAATCACTGACAAACCTTTTCAGCAATTGGCAAAGATAGATTAAATGGAATTGGACCTCCCCCACCCCCGCCACTCAATAGAGGATTAAAGTGAGAAGTTGAAAGTGTCAGTGATTGCTGATCAGGATGTGGCTTGAGCTTAAGAAATAGAAGACCAATAAACAAGAAGAGAGTAGGAATCATTAGCTGGAAAATAATTGTTTTATGATCTCTCCGAGCAGATATTGCCCTTTTGATGAATAAGGCTTTAGAATGTTGCCAAAATGTAGACCTAGTAATGAGACAACAACTGCAGCACTGCATACCCAAGAAGTTGATAAAACTTATAAATGTAGTGAAGGTTAAGCAACAAGCTCTTCCCAACATGGTAGACATGAAACCTGGAATCTTCTTATAATTTCCAAAAAATTTAAGACAACTTATTCTTGTGGAAGGATGATCACTAATAGGAACAGAAGCCACAGAGTCTGATATAAGGGAATGGTTATTTTCTTCAAAGCATTCAACTTCGTCATCGTCACATCCTGCAACTCTAAGAAATACCTCCTCCAGGGTTGTTACTGATATACCATAGCTTTCAATACCAAAACTGTCTTTGTCCCCAGTGCCACTCAATTCCACGTTTAAACCTGGTTTTTTCATGCAACCTTCAATTTCCCTAAACATCCTCTCAAAGGCTGATGAGGATGTCATTGGTAGCCTGAAAGAAATCTCCGTTCCAACCTGGAAATGCATATCGAGTAAGGATAAGATGGAATCAACAATCATAATAAGGTAGGGAAAAGAAGAAAACCAGGGCTTTAACATATTGTTAAAGAGGATGAACTCACCATTATTTGTTAAACAATCAATTATAATGTTGAAACTGTTCAAGCCAAGAGGTTATGATTTCTCGCAAAAACTATTTAACATATACAAAAAATAATGATATTATGCGACACCAATGCTCTCCTTCCCTTTTCTCTAAGAAACTAAAAAATTAGTAAAGCCAGTTTGTTTATATAAGAAGTGATTTTTAAGATTGGGTGAAAAGAAGTTTTGGATAGATTTTATGTAAACTTGTAAAGTAGAACCCTTTTGACATTTGGTTACAATTTATACTAGAAAGTTGAAATAGTGCCTATTACAGCTTCAGAAGAAGCTCTGAGTCATACAAGTAATATACAAGAATACAGCAACACGAATCCATATGAATCTTATGTGTTAGATCGGATACAGCAATATACCAAGGAAATGAAAGAAACATGATCAATGATCCTAAAAGTGAATTCATTCTGTGCTGTTTTTTATACGCAAGTTTTACAATAATACATTCTCTTCTAATTATACTAGTAAAAGAAAGCGAAAACTATGGTTTCTCACCAGTGTTGGATACAGCAGAGTTATTGAATCATCAGAGGCCAATTTCTTACATATCAAATAACATATACCAAACTGCATGTCAACACTTTAATCTTATGCAAATAGATTTAAATATATTTAACTGACTTTTTAAAAAAAATATTATTTATCTTAGTCTCCAGATAAGTGGAGTATGGCTCTAACTCAGCACCTGCACAGTTATTTTACATTGCCATTCAGTTTCTAGAACATGGTGTGTATGATTTTCAAAGTGTTTAATGACACTTGTATTTTGTCAAAACTTGAAGCAGTGTTTCTAGGTCAAGTTCAGAGATTTAGCAAGAACAACTTATAAGAATGACAATCTTTTAAAGCAGTGAACTACCTATGCAATATCAGTGCTGGTTAGAACAACATGTTGAAATTTTCAAGAGGAAATATTTGAATCTGGATGTAATTTGAGTTAAAATAATTGTCGTGGTCACTTTGGAGTACTCTAGTAGTTTGCTTTCCAGGGAATTTGATAGGATACTGAAGAGGGACACTAATATAAAAGAGAGTGACGGGCCTGTAGAAGGAGAATTTACAAGGCCGAAGGTATGATGGGTTTATACTAAAAGGAAGAAGGTGGGCCCATCAACTAATGAGACAAGAGACATTAAAACCAAGGAGAGCTATTTTTATTTTAGGAGAACCAACCTTCCTTCATTAATGCACACATACACATACTAGGAAGAGAGAAGAAAGAACTTCAACTGCAACACACTAATTTCAATTTTCAGATACTCATGCACATTAACATTGACAAATGAATACATGCTGTATGATCTTGACATTAATAGGTATCTCGAAGAATAATACTGAGAAAAGTACCTCGCTTACACATGTTGCAGATGGAACATGACGGTATACTATATCACTGGCTATAGAAGCAGTAGGAGCAGGCTGAAAGCACGAGGACAAAAAGAAATACAAATGAAAACAGCTATAGCCTTTCAATTGCGAAACATCAAGGACTAGGAATTAAATACAAAATGATCAGGACGTGAACATACCTTGACAAGGGTTAGAGTATAACCAACTCCATAATGATGCTTCAAGAAAAGGGAACTGTGAAAAAATCAAACATATAATGGGAGAGAGAAAAATATTATACACATGACAGTTATACCAATATTATAAGGTACCTAGAGGATTCAATGACAAAAACTGGAACTTCTAGTAAGATTTTAAATATTTCATAAAATTAAAACTTAAGGGCACCACAAAATTTCAGGGAAATTGACAAATCTAAACAGCCATACTGTTACAGACTAACATCTTTTATATATATATATATATATATATATATACACACAAGATTTTCCAAGTCCAAAAGATTTTCAGTCATAATATAATACAGTCGTACTTTTCCTACCAAAAGAGACTTATCAGAAACTGAGAAACTAAAAGATGCCATCCCATTGCATCAAGAAACTATGAAACAAAAACCAATGAGAAACTGCTCTTCATTTTCTCCAACAATCCCATAATACCACAAAGAATTCTCTAGTTGATTTTACTCATTGATGAAGATCAGAAATGTCTTAAAACAAAACATTGTATACAATATACACAGAGCAAAGAAGAAATGAAATGACAGCAGGAGCTCACAACATGATGCTTAAAAAGCTGTCTCCATCCCCTAATTCATCTATGTTCGTAAAGCCTGACATCTTATATGGTCTTCATGAATCACTTGCCAAAAAGTTAAGATATGTAAAAGAATTCCCAGATTTAGAAAAAATTCAGATTTCAAAATGAAGACTCAATAGTTAAAAAAGAAAGAATTATCCTTTACAGGTTAAATCCTGTGATTTGTGAGACTTTCCTGTTTTTCACAAATGCAACTAAATGACCTGAGCTCAAGCGATGTAGTTTCTATTTGTTTTAATAAATTCCTGAAATAGTTCCTACCTATTGAGTCTTCCAAAAGGATCACAAGTCAAGTTATCCATTGTGGCACTAATATATCAGAGTAAAGCAATTATCTGGAGACAAAACTTCACTTGAGCAATGAGGCAAGAGTCTCAAATTTCTTGAGCCTTGACCGACGAATGAAACATACAATGAAAAATTATAGAAAAAATGAACAAAACAATAACCGAGAATAGAAAAACAATAAGAAAAGCAAACATCAATCCTGTGCAAAATGGGAACAGGAACATGAACAACTCTATAGGATCTGAACAAATGTGCTAATCAAGCATTTGGAGAGAACGGATCTGAATAAATACATTTCTTTTTTTTTTCAAAATCAGAAGGTTTTGCTCAACCCTAGTATGTGATAATGAACTTTGAAACAAAATTAGAAGCCTCCCCATAAACTTGTTATTGAATACTAGAAAAAGAGAAAAAAATGATTTATTGATTATATCTGAAAATGTACATAAGACGGTGAGTACATATTTACAAGAGCAGAGAAGAATCATTAACTGACAGTTGTTCATTTGTATCCAACTACAAATAAAAACTGTTCAGTTGTAACAAACTAACTGCAGCTGTTAGATGTGACAAACAAACAGAAACTTAACAGACGTGATATTATAAGGGTTGTTTGGAAACACTTCTCCATAAGCACTTGTAGGAGAGAAATATAATAAAGAAAATGAAATTACCTTCTGCAACTAATTAATTTATGTATGTGCTAAATTGCAGAAGTTATTTCCTGTTAGCTTTTCCAGAATTTGATATCACACACTTGTTAAATTAACCAACAAACTCAGTAAAAATTTGTGCATGTTAACCCGGGTCAATTTTGAGAGGCACTAAATTACAAGTTAATGCTAGCATTGGAAGAATAAACTTTCCTTAAACTTAGGTTGTTTCAGTCAGGTGACAGTATATGAATTGTTTTATATCTCCCACTGTCAATATTAAGGAAACTACACTACCACCAAATAGTGTTATCCTTCTTACCTGTCAGGTGCTAGTGTATGTATAGTTTTATAACTCCAATAAGTGACACAAAGAAAACTACACTTGCACCAAATATTGTTTTCTATCTTACCGTAAGCTATAAAATGGAAGAACTTAATGCTAACTAATGGGATGAACACACTAAACTTAACAAAAGAACAACCACTACCCAAAAGTTTAGAAATTAAAAAAATAAAATAAATACTAATGTTTCTGAACAATGCAGCACATCAAGAGAAAATGCAACTTAGCAGTCCTGTCTAGATGAAAGATTTAACCTTTGAGGAAGTCTTACATAGTTTGAAAATATGAGTTATTGATTAGATATGAAGATGTACAAAAGACTGTGAGTACATGTATACAAGAGCAGAGAAAAATCACTGACTGACAGCTATTCATTTGGATCCAACTACACATAGAAATTGTTCAGTTCTAACAAACTAACAATCAACTAAATGATAGCTAGCCATTAGTAAAAGAAACTTAACAGACAAGATATTACAAGGGTTTTTCGGAAACACTTTCTCCATAAGCACTTGTAGGAGAGAAAAATAATAAGGAAAAATGAAATTACCTTCTGCAATTAAATTAATTTATCCATGTACTAATTTGCAGAAGTTATTTCCTATTAGCCTTTCCAGAATTTGATATCTCTAACACTTGTTAAATTAACCAACTAACTCGGTACAAAATTGTGCATGTTAACCTGAGTCAACTTCGGGAGGTACTAAATTACGAGTTTATGCTAGCTTTGAAAGCACAAACACACCTTAAACTTAAGCAGTTTCAATCAGGTGACAGTATATGAATAGTTTTATATCTCCAACAAGTGATAGTAAGTATATGAATAATTTTATATCTCCAAAGAATGATAGTAGGAAAACTTCACTAACACAAAATATTCTTATCCTACTTACCGTAAGCTATAAAATGGAAGAACTTACTGTTAACTAATGGGATGAATACACTAAACTTATTCAAAAGGACAATAGCTTCCTAAAAGTTTAGAAATTAAAAAAATAAAATAAACCCTATTGTTTCTTAACATGGCAGCTCATCAGGAGTACAAGCAGCTTGGCAGCCCTGTCTAGATATAAGATTTAACCTTTGAGGAAGTCTTACATAGATTTCCAAATCGGTTTGTCATGTAAACTCTCTAGCAGGAAATATTTCAAAATTAAAATACCAGGAATTCTTCAGAGTTGCACCAATACATAAATATCTGAGAAAATTCGAAAATGAAATTAACCTTCCACAACATTTCAGAGAACCATTGGCCATTATCGCTATCCGATCACCTAGTTCATCTGCTTCATCCATAGAATGTGTAGTTAATAAAATTATCCTGCCCTTCTTAATTTTTTTTATTAACTGCCAAGTCAAGCGCATTGAGTATGGATCCATTCCACTAGTAGGTTCATCAAGGACTATAACCTGCCAATTAAATCCAAAAGATTCCATCATTTTGTTCAACATATGAATATAAGGATGTGCTGTCAATATGAATTGTACCTTACTGTCTCCAATCAATGCAATTCCTAGAGATAATTTCCTCTTCATGCCACCGGAAAGAGTTCTCACAATACTGTTGATTTTATCAGCCAGGCCCACCTGTTTTTGGAATAATGTTATCAGGATTGTTTTGCAACTTAACAATGGTACTGGGTGTTAGTAATTGTTAAGTTTTGAGGTTTGCACAAGTTTTGAGGTTTGCACATTTTAGAGTTGTAGCCTTTGCTAAGATACAACAGTTCTCTTATTCAAATTCAAATTTCTTAACAATTTAGTTTTCATCAATTGTTGGCTACTATTGCCTTAAAAAATAATTTAGTAAATAATACAATTGTTAAATTCACAAGATTTATATTTACTAGATTGGTATTAATTAGTTGTATCTATTTATGAGTTGCATCTTCTAAAAGTTAATCTTTCATCTTCCCTCTAATCAATGTATCTATACAACCTTCCATTATAAATATGAGATGATTTGGGTTGTGGAGTCACACCCAAATATTATAATATTTCTGTTATTTTTTCTCAACTTACTATCAGGGCAGGTTTATCCCGCTATGTTGTTCTGGTTCTGCTCGGCTCGCGCCACCCGCCATCGTTTGCCACCACTGCTACCTACCATCTGTTTGGGGGTTCCTCTCTCTCTATTTTCTCCTTTTATGTGTTGTCTTATCTCTTTCGGGTCAAAAATGGCCTTTGGACCAGCTCACTGTTTCTTAGGGACTCCTTCCATCACATCAAAAAGACTTAATGGGAAAGGACGTCCTCAATGTACGCACTATAAAAGAAAGAGGTATACCCAAGAGAATTGTTACTCTCTTCATGGTTTCCCTGATAAAACAGCCAATGTTTCCACATCTATAACTACTAATCCAAAATTTTCTAATGAAGAATATCAGGAATATTTAAGGTTGAAGTCTAACAGTCTAGCCTCAACTCCCAGCATGTCAACTGCATGTATTTTACAATATGTGGAGGGTCAAAGTCTATGGATTATTGACTAAGGTGCTTCTAATCATATTTCTGGAAATACCTCTATATTCTCTTCTCTTTCTTATGTTGAAAATCATTATCTTATAACCTTAGACAATGGATCCAAAGTTGCTTCTCAAGGAATTAGCAAAGTATCCCTTTCTCCTACCTTACACTAAAAGTTTATTCTCCTTGCCCTTGCCTCTCTTTTTAATCTCCTTTCTTTAAGTTAGCTAACAAAATCATTAAATTGCTCTATAACCTTCGATGCCAGTTCTTTTATTATAAAGGAACGTGGATCAGGTCAACTAATTGGAGAAGGACATGAATCTAAAAGTCTCTACTACTTTGGATCTAGCTCACCTGTGTCATGTTTTGCATCTCCTTCCCCCAAGCTTTTATATGAAGATTTAGGTCATCCCCACTTGACAATAGTTCCCAAACTTAGTCATCTTCAAACTCTAGATTTGAGTCTACCTTTTCAATCATTCATTCAAATGTTTGGAGACCAAGTCAGTTTTTTTTTTTTTTAATTTTGTTACCTTTATTGATGATTTTTCAAAATCTACTTGGGTTTATTTGGTGAAAGATCGTTTTGAACTATTGCGTATCTTTACATTTTTCCTTAATGAAATTTTCAATCAATTTGGGAAAGTTATTAAAATTTTCAGAAATGGTAATGCCAAAGAACATTTCTCTTTTGATTTTTCTGCACTCTTAAGATCACATGACATTTTACATCAATCTATTTGTCTCACACACCTAAGCAAAATGGTGTTACTGAAAGGAAAAATAAACATTTAGTTGAGACTGCACATACCTTATTGCTTGAAACCAATATACCGGTCCATAATTGGGGTGATGTTGTCCTCACTACCTATTTTCTTATTAGTAGAATGTCATCATCTTCTTTTAACAATAAAGCTCCTTATTCCATTCTTTTTCTTAATGAACCTCTCTTTCATGTTTCCCCTTGTGCGTTTTGATGTATTTGTGTTGTTCAGGATATGACTCCAGGATTGGACAAACTCTCCGCCTTGGCTATCAAGTGTGTTTTCTTGGGTTTTTCTCGTTTTCAAAAAGGAAATTGTTATTACTCTCTTGAAACCAAAAAATTTTACATGTCTGCACATGTTACCTTTTTTGAACAAACTCCTTACTTTTCTTCATCTGTCTAGTATGTTTAGTTTGTCCAATAAGTCCTTCCTATACCATTGATTGAGTCTCTTGATCCTTCTACTAACCCATCATCGCCCATTCAGGATGCACCTACTCCATCTGTTTTACCTCTTATTATTTACCAACGCATGACCCAAAGGACTAGTTCAATACTTCAAGATGAGCCCTCTTCATCAGGTGCTTCTCAATCATCGCCCTCTTCCATATTTCTTGATAATCATGATTCAGCTTGGCTCATTGTCCTCCACAAAGATACTCATACTACTCGTAATCCACATCCTATCTATAATTTTATTAATTATCACAGACTGTCTTATTCTTATTGCTCTTTTATATCCTTTGTCTCTTCTAATACTATTTCTAAAAATATGAATGAAGCACTTGATCATCTTGAATGGCGATAAGCTATGAATACAGAAATGCAAGCCCTTGATCATAATAATACATGGGAATTAGTTCTCCTTCCAGCCTAGAAGGAGACTGTCAGATGTCGATGGATTTATAACATTAAAGTTGGTTCCAATGGTAAAGTAAACAGTCTCAAAGCCCGACTAGTTGCAAAAGAATATACTTAGATCTATGGTCTTTATTACAGTGATACTTTTTCTCTAATGGTCAAAATGACTACTATTTGTCTCTTTTGTGCTATGGCAATTATTCGACAATGGTAACTTCATCAATTGGACATCAAAAATGTCTTCCTTCATGGTGATCTAGATGAGGAGGTCTATATGGAGCAACCTCCTAAGTTTGTTGGTCAGGGGAGTTTGATTTGGTGTGTAAGTTGTGTCATTCTTTCTATGGTCTATAACAATCTCCACGAGCTTAGTTTGGAAAATTTAGTTCCATTGTTCAAGCCTTCGAGCTAAAACGTAAGGAAACATACCATTCAGTTTTCTATTGTCACGCATCCCTTGGAAAATGTGTTTACTTAATAGGGTATGTGGATGATTTTGTCACTACAGGGAATGATACTACAGGGAATGATACTACAGGGAATGATATCACTAGAATATCCTAATTAAAGGAACACTTATGTAGTCATTTCCAAACCAAAGATCTTGGATGTCTCAAATATTTCTTAGGTATTAAAGTGGCTCAATCAAAAGGTGTTGTAATCTCTCAAACGAAATATGCTCTTTATTTTTTAAAAGAGACCGGTTTGATGGATTGTATATCTGCGGATAGCACTATAGACCCAAATCAGGAATTAATGGTAGAATAGGAGGAAGTTTTCTCTATCACTAGACTTGATCTGTCATTCGCAGTAAGTGTTATAAGTCAGTTCATGCAAGCTTTGTACATATCATTGGAATGTTGTCATCCATATCCTAAGATACACTAAAAAAATGCTCCTGGACAAGGCTTATTATATGAAGATAAAGGAAATACTCAAGTTTTTGGGTATTGTGATGCTAATTGGACAAGGTCTCCTATGAACAGATGGTCCACCACAGGATATTGTATTTTCCTTAGAGGAAATATCATTTCTTGGAAAAGTAAGAAACAAAATGTAGTCCGATCAACTGTTGATGCTGAATACTAGGCAATGGTGTCTCTAACTTGTGAGCTTATGTGGGTAAAACAGTTCCTCCAAGAATTAAACTTGTGTAAGGTTCAACAAAAGAAAATGTATTGGGATAACCAAGTTGCTCTCTATATTGCCTCAAATTCATTCTTCCATGAGAGAACAGAACATAAAGAAATTGATTGTCATTTCATTCGGGAAAAGTTTTTGTCCAAAGAAATCAATACTGAATTTATCGGATCCAATGATCAACCTGTAGATGTATTGACAAAGTCTTTGAGAGGACCATGAATTGAGTTTATTTGTTCCAAGTTTGGCGCATCCAATTTGTATGCTCTAACTTTAGGTGGAGTGTTAAATTTATAAGATTTATATTTACTAGATTGGTATTAGGACTGTATATATCTATGAGTTATATCTTCTAGAAAGTTAATCTTTTCATCTCTCCTCTAATCAATGTATCTCTACAACCTTCCATTATAAATATGAGGTGATTTGGGTTGTGCAGCCACACCCAAATATTATAATATTCCTCTTATTTTCTCTCAAGTATAATATATTCTAAATTATTTCAATTTTAAAGTGTCATTAGTAATAATTTTTTTAAAATCTGGTTAATAAAAATACCAATTTCTATAATAAATTATTGATGGACATGTAAAATTGGTAAATTCATTTTTAATTTTGAATATTAGAAATACTAATATCAAATATAATTTGTATTATATAATATTTTATTATTTTGAAAAATACAAAAATTTTGTATGAATTTTGAGACATATTTATTGAAAATTGGCCACTTTACTTGCTACATCCTGGTTCCATCCTTGCTTTTTGTAGATATATTTCTCTACAACTGAAATGCATCTTGTGTTTGAATAGCAAAAACGCATGGCAATGGGGTGAGGGCAGGTTTTTCCTCCCTGACCTCCGCCTTGCCTCTAATTTCCTTAATCATCCCCATCCTTGCGCACGAACCCCATCAAGATTAGAATTTGAGTCTTCATCCCAATCCTCATTGGGTTTCGAGTTTCTCTGCTTTCACCCCTGCCCATTCTCGTTCTATGCTATTTCTTAAAAGCATAATTACACATAAATTATAATAAATTAATTTTAATGATACTTTTCTCATAGAAGCTTCAATTATCAATCCTTTAAAATAAATTATTTAATTAACATAAATTGTGATATCTAATAAATAAGAATAGTAAAATTCAAAAAGCATGACATAAAAAAGCCTAATACAAATACATTATAAATAACATAGTCTAGGTGCTGCAAAGATTGATGCACAATATTTAGAAAAAGATTAAAAAAAATAATAATAACCTTATAAGTTTGTCAAACTAATGAAAGAGATTGGAAAAGTCAAATTGGTCGAAGAGATTGAGGTAAGGTGAAGGAACGAAAGGTGAAAGAAAGATAAGTTTGTGTTGAATAATTTGAAGAGATTGAGAAAGACAAAGGAGGAAAAAGTGGTTGAGAGAAAAGTGAAGAGTGTGAAAATATAGAAGAAACAACACTTTGTATCATTTGAAAAAGAGAAGCATTTGAGAGAGGGTTAATATTATAGAGTTTAGGTTTAAATATAAATCGGGAAGAGGACGAGGACAAGATTGGGACGGGGATTGCATAACTCATCCCCACCCCTAAACCTGATTTCTTGAAGCAAGGAAAGCCTGAACTCAATCGACTTAATTTTTCCCCATTAGCCTCAGTACAGTTACAAATCGGTCCCCACGAGTGCAGGTTTGATTATCATCACTAATAGCGAATATCACATTTCCTAAAACTTCAAATATATTGAATTTGATTTGTTTTCATTTAAATTGTTACATTTTCTAAATACGTTATTAGGATAAAGCAATTCAAATTGTTTGAATTTTAATTTTCTTATTTGGATATGGTATTTCAATTACCATCAAATATGAAAGTTTATTTTAATATTAAGCAATGTTTAATGAATCAAAAATATTAGTGAGTGATAATAGAGAAAATGATAACGAATATCGAAAAAGAAATAACTCAAACCTACATTGAAAAAAAAAATAACTCCAATAAACTTCAATCGAAAAAACCCCCAACTAACATTAACTGAAAAATAACCTTAGCTAACGTCAACTAAAAAGAGTATGAAAATTTTGAAATTCTTTTTTTTTGGGTAGAATTTAAAATTATTTATCTAAATAACATTTTGTCATCAAATATATCAAATTCTCTATAAAAATGAATTACCTTTTAGAAGTTCCTCATCCAAAAACAATATTATAACTTTTTGTAGACGGTTCTGCTTGCAAAATTGTTAGTGTTTCCTTTTTCCGTAAAGAAGTTGTTTCATCAATTATTATTTTTGTTTTACGCAATGACTACTCTCTAATCTTTATATAGGATTTCTCTAACAAACAATACTCACAGTCATTGTTATTCATTTCACTCAAAAAGTTAATAAACATTTTCTATCTACTCTAGTAGTTATAGGTGTTTGTGGTAAAAACATAAGTTATTATCAAGACTTGTAATTTTTGAACTCACCTCATCAGCCATATTAATAACAGCATTGTCCAGTAAGTGTTCCTCCACTCCCTTTAATATGGCAAATAGCTCTAAATGTTCCCTAACCTAGATAAATTCAATAGAAGAATTCAGCATCCCATACATTGTAAAGTTGAAAGGCATTTTCAGCAAAGAAATAAAATAAAATAAAAGTAACATTGTAAACTAATCAGATATCAGTTTAGGAAGAAAAGATCATTGAGGAAGAACCTTAAGCATAATGCATAAGTTTATACTTTATAATAGTATTGAACATCTAAGTGTCGTTTATAGTAGGGAAATGATTTCCTAAAACTCCAATGCAAGTCATGATGGACCTAAAAATTTGGGGCAATGGCTGTTGGAAAGAGGAGTATTTAATGTTAATTATCTTCCCAAGTAGTTCAGGTGAAGTTTAGCGTTGCTCAATGTACTCTTGTCATAAATAAATCAATTTGGTAAGTGGAAAAAGTACTCAAGCACATTCAGAAAGTTTCCTCACGTTTTCTCAAAAAGACCTATGCAACATGTACATGGTAATTCGTAAACATAACATGTAACAAATAAAATAATTAAAGAAAAAGTTACAATTATTTTCAAAATGTAACCAAAACCCAATCAGTTGAAGATAATATTTATCTTCCCATTTCCTTTAAGAATATGCAGCGAAAAACCTCACTCTATATTCTCTTAAACTATGTCTCATTTCACAATTTATCCCCTACCCACAAAAAATTTCTTGCAGATATAAACTCTCAATTCCAACAAATGTTTTTGAGGCAGTATCCAATAAAAACTGGAAGCAAGTTATGGATGCAAACAAAACGAAGGAATCGTTTTCTTCAACCCAAAGAAAAAAAAAAGTCAATTGGTTATATGTGGGAGTATACAGTAAAGTATAAGGCAAATGGGGTCATCGAGAGATGCAAGGAAACATGGGATGCTAAGGGTTTCACTATGACCTATGAGAAAGATTACTAAAGGACCTTCGGTCCAATTGCAAAGATGAGAACAATTCAAATAATATTATCTTCTGCGGCAAATTATGCTTAGGAGTTACAGTAACTTGATGTGAAGAATGTTTTCATAGCTAGAAGAAGAAATGTATATACAGGTCCCTCCAGAATATGAAATTGCTGCTATTCTATTTTTAGATTAAAAACAAGCTTTATACTGGTTAAAACAATCCCCTGGGCATAGTTAGGTGATCACACTTTATTTATCAAACACTCATATTTAAAGGTAAGGATTAGAAGGAACAACTTTGGAGTCAAAATCTAGCAAAAGTGTTTTGAGATAAAAACTCTTTGGAGGTTAAAATGATTTTTGGGGATTAAAGTGACCCACTACAAGAAAGGTATTTTTGCATCTCAACAGAAATATGTCACTGGTTTGCTTAAGGAGACTGATATGACAGCTTCTAAACCTATAAGAACTCCAATGGATTCAAACTTTAAATTGAGCTATGCAGATGATGGTGTAGGAGTTGACTTACAATAGGTCAGATATTGCATTTGTACTAGTTTGCTTACCCAATTTATACATTGTCCAAGAGAAGTTCACTTACAGGCCACTTACAAAATTAAGCAATACCTAAGGGGATACCAGAAAGGGGTTTTTGGGTAGTTGAGGTGCCATAATTATTAGTTGGGTAGTTTAGGGTATGCAGAGTATTCTATAAACAGATCCTTGTACTGTTTCAAATCAAGAAATTAAATTACAATTTTCTTTTCTTAAATATCTTTTCAATCTTTTTCCACTTAGGGTTTAGGGTTTAAAAATGTTTTTAGTCACTCCTATTATAAAAAGGTAAGTATAATAAAGAATCACTACATTGGTTATGATCCAAACTAGGTTGGCACCTTATGCTACATCAATTATTTGCAACATAGAAAAATGATATATAAGAAATAAAGAAAAGAAATACAATATAATGGGGGACTAGACCCTCAAATTACTATTTAGAGACTAAAATAAACCTTTTTTAATTTGAGGAACTAAAAAGAGACTTGCCAAAATTTCAAGGATAACAAGATAATAAAACATTTTAATTATTCTATTGAAAATATTAGTTGTTACTTGTTATCTTTTGTAATCATTCTTGCTATACACAGATCAATCAGGTGAGTGGAGAAAATACTTAAGCACATTCAAAAACTTTCATCGCACAAAGACCTCCAACAACATATAAATGATAACTGGTACACATAGCATTAAATATACATAAAAGACAATAACAAAAAAAATTAAAGAAAAAGTTACAATTATTTTTATGCTACTGTATAAAATATGGGTAAAAAATCTATAAGAAAATGTTGCTTACAAACATTATGACAGCTACACAGCAATTGAAATGCATGTGACACTGGCTGAAAAGCCACCCAAAAATGAAACAAAAAATGAATGTTGAGGATATGAATATGAATCAGTCATGTAGTTCAATACAAAAAGTTAGTAATAGAAATAGGGCAATGATTAATATTTTAAAAGTTAGAACCACCATTCAACAAATATGCAGATTGCAGAGAATAATTACTCACCATACAGAGAATAGAAAAACTAAAAGCATACTTCTACTTACTGTTAATTCAGGAAAGAGTATATCATGCTGTGGGCAGACACCCAAAACCTTCCGTATCTCATCCTACAACACAAGACGATTGCACTCTGAATGAACACAAGACTAAGAGAAAATGCTTAACAAGAAAGGGGAAGCAAAAAAAACATCATATTCAGAAATAGGATATCCATGTCTGGCTGGTCAACTGAAAACAAGTTACCAAGTTCTAATTGGGACATATTTTACCTTTACCATCATAAACATTATATACAACCTTCTTGGAGTAGTTAATCTCTTCTGTTTGCAACAGTGCAGTTTCCCATTACTTTGTAACAGTAATCTAATTGGGACATATTATATACGTTTGTAACAGTGCAGTTTCTGTTTGCATCTGTTGCAATTGACAATTTTCAATTTCAGTTATTATTCTATATATTGTATATAATCTCTGGTCAAAGATTAATTTTGACATCAATTCAAATTTAGCTTCTGATTTTGGTTTCCCATTACTTTGTCTTGTTTTCTCAGCTTTTCTGTCCTTTGGGATTTTATCAAACCTGGTATACCTGGAAACTTCGGTTTGCAATTGCAACTCAGATTAGCTCTTCACAGCATAAGGACTAAAAGGTCAAAAACATTTAAAGCCTTCTAATGAGCAAATAGATTTAGTGGTTTTTATGTTACGAAGGTATTGTCAATCATCAACAACACAGCATTGGTGAGGTTGGCTACCCAAATCACAGAGATCCACAACTTTATAGTGATGCAATTGCATTCTTTCCTTTGATTAGTCTGGCCAGTACATCCAAATTCCTAACCACTTTTTTAACTAATTCTGTCAGTTTTTCCTCAATCAGTGCTACATCAATATCTCCTAATACACAATTATTTCATATGTTTTCCCTTTTGTTTGGCCACACATCCATCTTAGCATTCTTATTTCAGCTCCTCCACCTTTTTCTCATGTTATCCCTCAAAAGCCTAACATTCACTATCAAAGTTACTTCACGTTAACACAATGCATGAAATATAGAAGTGCTATGTTTTCCATCTTAGCATGGCTTTCGATTTGCATATTGTGTGTTTACTAAAGTTTATAATAAAACACTGCAGAGAACTTTTGTCATAAAAGCTGATACTATTTAGAAGTCAATCTAAACGAGACATGCAATTAATTTCTACATAACAAATTAAAATTTTGAAGTTATTTCATTCATACATATGCATGTGCTCCCTCATCATTGATAGTGTTAGGACACTGAGTTTGGACCTAAGCCCAAAAAGTGAGCTGAATAGGGGAGTTTAAGAGTGGCAGTTAGTGAGGATATGTGACAGCTATAGTGAGCATTTATTTTGACATTACAGGGATCTATCCTGAAATATTTCTTGTTTTCCAATCAAGAATATTGTTCTTAGTTTCTATCTAATCTGGTCCTATCAATGGTTCTACCTACTAGATTGCTTGTGGGAGAGCAAGTGTTACCAAAGATGGAGAACATGTGGACCAAGAAGATGGAGCCGTGTGACTTTCAGGGGGCTGAACTGTTAGAAAGGTTCCTTGAGGAGCAAGAATTTCATCTATGTGAAAAGCTATAGTAGGCATTCATGGAGAGTGAAGCCATGCTATGATTTCAGTCATGGTGGCAATAGGACCTTGATGCCAATTAGGGAAGGTTCAGCTATGGTAGTTGGATTTTTGAGGGTGCTAACTGCATTGGACCAAAAACACCAACAGTGAAGGAATCACCAAATTGTTTCTTTGAGAAGATGAAAAAGTAACTAAAAACAACCAAGGCGGAGGAAGGGAAGTAACCATCAAATTCTAAGCAAAATGACAAGGTGATTAGAAGTCAAAGTGTGGTGGTGATGAGACGAATTCTTGGTCCTTGAGGATTCCAGCTAGCTAGTGTCATCAAACAAATTAAGACTAGAAAAAGAGATCCTATCCATGGGTGGATCAACCATACTCCCACCTCCACCAAAGTCATTACATGCTAACCCACATGTGGTTGACAATGTGTCGTTATTGGTGGACCAACCAGGGTCAGCACTGTCATTGATGCATCCCCTCTTGAGTAAATTATGTTTGATTAGTTACTGATCGACCACCACCCTGGAGCCACTAAATCCAAACTATAATGTGACTAAGTTAACTAAAACAAAAAATAAACACGTATAACAAAATCAAACACAGGGTGTACTTGAGATGCAGAAAATAATCTTGTTCAACTTTTGCTTGTCAAACAATAATAATAAATCAGTTTCTGCATTTCAAGTACACCTTAATTTCCATCATCAGAAGAAGACCCCCTCTTCCTTCTCAAGTACTTCTTTTTCATCACTTTGACTCATTTCTTCCCCTCTACTTGTGCCCCACAATTGCAGGATGACCTTTCATTGCTTCAATATGGTAGTACTTATGAAATTAGTCATCTGCAAATCCAGAGATTATATCCATTGCTAATTCTCAAGATTCACCTCTTGCTTCAATCTCTTCACCTTTTGCAGTATCATAATAGCCTTTTGCTGACTTGCCATTGCACTTCATTAAGGTAAATATTACCCTTAATCCCATTGGCTGTCATTCCCATTGTGACATTGTTTTTGTTATTTCCATTCATCTATTACCATTTCTAAGAATGTTCAGAAGCACTATCCCACCAAGACCAAACATTTAGATTGGACTAATGTCCCTATGATAGTTATCAGAATTGTTCGGATCCTAGGGTATATCACCCAACAATCACATTAGACACTCAGTAGAAGATCGAGCATATGGTGCTAGTGATAGGCAGTCCAATTAGTTTGCTGTATTTCTTATTGGAGAAAGTGTAATTTTCATGGAACAGCAAGTAGACTGTTGTTGTTAGATCTAGAATAGAAGCAGAGCATTGTCCTATGGCTCATACTACTAGGGAACTTTTACAGATAAAGCACTTTCTCCAAGAGCTTAAATTTTGTGACACTTTGAGATAGGTCTTATGAAGGTTTCTTGTGATAATCAATCAGCTATGTACCTTGGTCCAAAGCAAGCTTTCATTACAATCTAAAAAAAAGGTTTCATTACAGCAACGATTTTTTTCAAGCACCATCAATACTTATTCTGTGAGTTCCAAAGATTAAATATCAGAAATTATTGGCAAGGTCTTACAAGGTCCTACCTATAATCGCATAAATATGTAAAGCTAGACTCATATGATATATATGCTATGTTAGAGATATGCTCTCATAATATCTTTTCTTTTATTATTTTTGAACTCCTGTTTGTTACTACAATTGTTTGACAGTTGTAGTTTGTTGCAACTGATCTACTACCTATTGCAGTACTCCTCTACTCATATAAGTATATGGGTTCTGTAAGAGGTTTACTTACTCTTTGTCACTATCTTTAGTAACGAACCATAATTTGTGATAGATTTAATACGGTATCTAGAGCAAGTTAATCTTCTTTCTTGGCTTCTGCCAAATCTTTTTTATTCTATGGCTTTTAGATCCTAATTCTTTTTGTCTTCCTCCTTCAACAAATTCTCGTCCTTCTTTTTCTGTGCCTGCACCTGCCACTTTCTCCCACTAAATTACAGAGAAGCTTGATGATAAAAATTTCTTGTTGTGGCACCAGCAAGTTGAACCAATAATTAAAGCCCATTGTTTGCCTCACTTTGTGGTTACTCCTAAAATTCCATCCAGGTTTCTCACAGAACAAGATCAAGATGTTAATCATGTCAATCCAGAATATCTTTCTAGGGAAGAGCAAGATCAAATGCTTCTTGAATGGCTCCAATCTTCACTTTCTAGTACTATCTTGTCGCGCGTGTTTGGATGTATGCATTCATACGAAAAATGGGACAAGATACGTGCATATTTTCTTCATCAAACCAGGACAAAAGAAAGACAATTGCATTCTGAGTTAAGAAACTCATCTTTGGATAATCGCACAGTTAATGAATTTCTTTCTTATATTAAGTCTCTTGTTGACTCTCTTTGTTTGGTTAGAGATCTAGTTTCTATAAAAGAACATTTAGATTCAATTCTTGGAGGTCTTCCTCAAGAATATGATTATGTTATTACTCTTATTGAGAGCAAAACTAATAATATGTCTATTGAAGAAGTTGAAGGTTTAATTCTTGCACAAGAATTGTGTTTACAAAAGTATAAAAAAAAAAGCATCAAATTATGTTTTTTATGATAATCTTGCTCAAGCTCCAACAAACACTCTTGCCTTTTCTACTACTGAACTTCTATGAATTCAAACTCTGCTTACTGAACTTGGCATTCCTCATCTCATTCCTGTTGTTTACTGTGATAATCTTAGTGCAGTAAATTTAGCTCATAATCACGTTTTACAGTCCAAAACTAAACACATGGAACTAGATCTCTTCTTTGTCAGAGAAAAGGTTCTAGCCAAGCAGCTTGTTGTGAAGCATATTCCTTCCTGGTCTAGATCAATTGGTTGATGTACTAACCAAGCCACTTTTCAAGGTGACTAAGTTGCCTATTGTTTCACATCCACCTTGAGCTTGTGAGGGTATTAGAGATATGCTTTTGTAATGTCTTTTCTTTTATTATTTCGGAACAACTGTTTCTTACTATAATTGTTTGACAGTCGTAGTTTGTTACAACTAGTCTACTACGTATTGCAATACTCCTCTACTCATATAATAACATGTTTACTGACTCTTTGTAACTCCCTTTAGTAATGAATCATAATTCTAAACAGATTTAATAAGCTACAACTTGAGTGGAATGTTAGTTGTGTTTGTAATTATATGTTGTTCTTTTCCTTCTACTTTTTGATATGTTTTCATAGTGTCCTTAGAGAGTTTAGGCTCTTACTGACTCTAAAACACTAACCATTAGGAAATTGATTCTGTTTCACTTTATATATTTGTACACACACCACAAATTCAGATTCAAATACTCAATTGACGCATACACACTACATTAACTATTCTCAGTCACACAAGACTGTAATTACTGAATAGTCTACAAAATTCCTCAACACTTAAAACTTACAATATCGGATACAATGTTCTTTCCAAATACCAAAGCATCCCCAGAAGTAGGAGGAAGCAGACCAACAAGCATAGAGATTGTCGTGCTTTTCCCAGCTCCATTATGTCCTTGAAAACAGAAACCGTCTTAATAGTGAATATAAATTTAAATTAAGAATGGAGAATTAGAGATCTTAAAAAATAAAACCAACAATAACAAGAACAATGACAAACAATGGGGAAAAAAAATCTTGCAGTAGGAGAGCAATCTCTCGAAATACCCGTCAAGATCAACAGACAGTAGATTGCAACAAATTTTAAAGCAAAGAGAAAAATACACAACAAAAAATTTCCACGCAAAAGAGAAAAGAAATATGTGCAAAATACTTTCTGAATTGATTACATTATCGGTTATGTTTAGCAACATAATTGGTCATCTATGCACCATAACTCAATTTATTTATAGAATTTGTCCAATAATCTATTATGTTTTCCTCCAACTTATTTTCTTTGTTTTATTTACAATTTCTGTTTCTTATAATAATAATAATAATTATTATTATTATTATTATTATAATAAATATAAATCTTAATAATGATGATAATAATAACAATAAAGAGTAATATTCGTTTCCTTCTTAAACAAAACAATCTTTGTTTTCATTCTATTTCTTTTCTCACCTACCTACCTTCTCTCCCTTAATATCCTCTCTCAATCAAACACACCCTAAGAATCTAAAACATAAAACCTAAAAATTTTTAAAGGAAATTAATCAAAAATCAGAATTTCCTAACAACTTTTTAAAGTGTTAACCAGAATCTAAAAGCTAATTCATCTATTAACACTCACAAGAAATATGATTCACTACTAAGGGAGAAATACAAAAGTCAGTAAACCTCTCACAGAACCCATATATATATATATATATATATATATATATATATACATGGACAGAGGAGTTAGGCATAAAGAGTGGTGAATCAGTTGTAACAAACTCCAACTGTCAAACAACTACAAATAAATAGTTGTTCAGAAACAATAAGAGAAAATACATTACAAAAGCACTATCCCCACCACTTTCTCTCTCACTAACAAAACAATGCTTTCATTTTGGATGATCTTTGATTTAAAAAGAAGATATTATATTCAGATTGTTGTGAAAAAATTACACCTAAAAGTCTTTAAATAGAATGTGTCATATAAGAAAACTGGGAAACTAACTTAAAAGGGAAAACTTGAAGTTCAAATTACTTTTCATGCGCAACTATATTAGTTTGGATATTTTCTAATATTTAATTATTTGTTTCCTTATTCGTTACGATTATGATTCAGTATTAGCATAAATAAGGGTTTATGGGGTTTATGTTTATGTTTTATAACAGATAGAACACTATCATATTCCTCTGCTCTCTCTACACCTAAAGCATACAATTTCAACAGTAATTGTGTGAGACAATAAAAACACTGCACTGACCTAGGAGAGCAAGAATCTGACTTTCGTACAGTGTCAGCTGTAATGAGTTAACAGCACAGCAATCACCTTTCTTTGTAGCATACACTTTATGTAAATTCCTGATTTGAATGCACCTGAAAATTAATAAGAAATTAGAAAGAGACAATATATCATATACTAAATTGATGCACTTAAATTGTATATCATATACCTGCCATCAAGCTCCTGTTGTTTCATGTCTATGCTTATTGCTTCTATGGCAGGTTTGGAACTATATTCCCCTGAAAAATTCTCTTCTGATTCAGAATTCTTACCAGATATTTTAAATTCAGAACAGGAGGAACAATGTTTTGCAACATTTTTCTTCCTCCAAAAGTCCTTTTGGAAAATAAAGCTCCATGTGGATCTCTTTCCATATTCCTTTGGAAGAACCTACAAGAAGAATGAGGTTTGAATGCCTTTATCATTCATAAAGACAAAATGGAAAGAAAATCCTGCAAAATAGAATACAAAAATGAAATATCATAGAAAAAAATGGCTAATCTAGTAGGTCTTTTTTAATGATACCATTTTAAGAATTTCGGTTTGAGTTTAACCCAAACTTATTAAACCAACTTGTGAGGAATGACTTGCCCCCCACTACTTACTTCAAACTCTATCCCTAGTCAATGTGAAACTTGAGTTTTTCCTGAAACTTGTTATGCATCCATTTTTGGAAAAGGTGTATAATTGTTAATCTTTTAGAAATGTTACAATTCTATACATATGATATTAGGATTGTTTGAATAGGTTATTTTCTTTAGATAACTTGTTGAGATATGTTAACCTATCATCAGTAAAAAAGTTGATTGTGTTATTAGCTACTAGCACCTTGGTGTAGCCTTCAGTCTCTATGCTCTACAGGGAATGATGTTGATAAAATTTCTCAGCTAAAGAAGCACTTATGCAAACAATTTCAAACCAAAGATATCTTGGATACCTCAAACTTTATTGGCTATGAAGTGGTTCAATCAAAATACAGTATTGTTATCTCTCATGATATGCTTTAGATATCCTAAAATAAACAGACATGATTGATTGTAGACCAGTTCATAGTACTTCGAATCCAAATCAGATATTGATTGTAGAACAAAGTGAACTTGTCTCAAATCCAGAAAGATATAGAAAACTTGTTGGAAAACTTATCCATCTCACTATTACAAGCTCCTCATATTGATCAGTGATATGTTGTTATTCCATTCCCAGTTACCTCAAAAAGAATCCAAGTATGAAGATAAGGTAAAAACTTGTATGTATGAATATTGTAAAGTTGATAACGCAGGATATCCTATAGATAGCATTCCATTAACATGGTATTCTGTTTTAATTGAAGGTAAGAGTGTTCCTTGTAAATGCAAAAAACAGAATGTGGATGCTTAATCTAGTGTCAAAGTGGAGTATAGGATGATAGCATCTCTCACTTGTGAAATTACATAGATTAATCAATTCCTTCAAGAGTTGAAGTTTTGTGAAATTTAGCAGTTGAGAATGTACTATGACTTGCTCAAGATTTACTATCCAATTTGTTCTAGAGAAGTCAACGTTTGTTAGTTCTAACGAAAAATCAAATCTTCAACTATTTGTTATTCAGGAAGCGAATTGTTTAGAAGCATTGGAGTATAAAGTGTTCAATACATAAAAAACATGAACATTTATCTTTTCTTCAAGTGCCATCAAATACAGCAATTCACAAACTGAAACATCAATAGTTAGCCATGCTTCATGTTGAAATAAAAGAGGCTTAGGCTGAATCCCTAATGTGTATTAAACACATTGCATTATCTCTTTATATATGGGAAAAATACAAAGATTAAGAAAATAAGTGATGTGGAACTATTTGTTATTCAGGAAGCGAATTGTTTAGAAGCATTGGAGTATGAAGTGTTCAATACATAAAAAACATGAACATTTCTCTTTTCTTCAAGTGCCATCAAATATAGCAATTCATAAACTGAAACATCAATAGTTGGCCATGCTTCATGTTGAAATAAAAGAGGCTTAGGCTGAATCCCTAATGTGTATTAAACAAATTGCGTTATCTCTTTATATATGGGAAAAATACAAAGATTAAGAAAATACATAAGTGATGTGGGCCTAAGTCCATTACATCTAACACTTCATTTTATATGGTAAGAAGCAAAGGATTAAAAAGAGTTCATCAAGGCAAATGCAAGCTTCCAACTAGGAGGTATGAGGAACACATTAAGTGTCCCCATCCATTCTAGTCAGATTACTCGTATAGTCTATTCGAGGATATATTCACAAGACATACCTTGTCAAAATAAAGTCCAATCGCACAATATAGCATTGTATCAAGTATCATCATCAGAAGACATGCAAGAAAATTCACTCCTGATGATTCCTGAAAGATAAATATCTTAGAAATGGGGTACAAAAATAGGTTAAGGTAGTAAAGTTAACCGTAAATCAATAACTCACCCGCCATATGTTGCTCCAACGAAGTCCAACATGTGCACGCTCATAATCAGCAAAGTTGATCGAACCCAAAGCAAATGCAGTAGGTGAAAGTAAAGAAGCAATAATCTTCAAGATTCTGAAGGTGGGAACCTCAAATGAATAAAATCTAGACTCAAGTATAAAAATTTGGACTGCAAAAATAACAGTTATTGGAAGGACAAGTACTCACATTGAAACTCCTTCATCATTAACAGTGTAATATGGGAAAAAAGCTCCAAGAAAAGACAGAGTTCCGACAGCTACAGCTGTTTTAGCCCGTTTGAAAAATGTTGATATAAAGAATGAAAGCATGATCGCACTTAGCCCAAAAACAAAAAAGTATGCAAACACCAGTGTCTTGTCACTATACTTGAATAAATTATACATGGTGCAAACTGTAAGGATCCCAGAAGAAATTGCAAACTGTAAACATGAAATTATAAAAAGATGAGAAAATAATAATTTCTTGATCTACAAATGGTAAGAATCAACTCATCACAGGATAGTCATACAATAATTTCAAACTTACAACACAATTTACGTTACAAGAAGAAATAAAGGAATTGAGTTCCAACACAAACTAAAACAGCATTCAAACATTTTCTTGTACTTTATATCCCTTTTCCTCAATTTTTTGCCCTCTATTTCTGTATAATTTTGTTTCTCGTGTCTTTCTCTCTGTATCTTCTTCAATTCCACTTATTTCTTCTTATTTGGTTTCTTCATCCACTTCTCCACAAGTTACTATATGAATTCCTCCCACTTCTCATGAACAATCACCTACCATAGATGCAGACCAAATATTTTTTAGTCCACACACATTCACACATCTCAACCTAACCTTACATCAACTAGCTCTATGGTCTAACCTATCAACAGTCATCCAATGGTAACCATGTCCAAAAAGGGTATTGTTCAAACGAGGATTAATCCCACTGTTTTACTTGCTCATACTAAACCAAAAAGTGTTAAACAGGCTCTTCAGGACCCCAATTAGTTGAATGCCATGGCTGATGAATTCTCGACTCTTCAAAAAAATAACACTTGAGATTGGTTTCTTTACCTCCTTACAGAGTTCCCATTGGCAATAAATGGGTATTTAGAGTAAGAAAATGTTGATGGCTCTATAAACAAATACAAGACAAGGTTAGTTCCCAAAGGATTCAATCAACAATTTGGTTATGAATTTCATAAAACATTTTTCTCCAATGGTTAAAACTGCCACCATTCGTATTATAATTACACTTGCTCTCGCGTATAGGTGGCCTCTATTGTGACTCGATGTGATCACTGCTTTTCTGAATAGGGTGCTTCAAGAAGTTTATATGCCTCACCCTCCAGGTTTTGAAATTCTGATAAATCTCTGGTATGCAAGTTAAATAAAGCTATTTATGGTTTAAAACTCAAGTCTACTCTTCACCAGTGTGGATTTACAGATAGTAAATGTGATCCTTTTATATTTGTGCTCGCCAAACAATCCACTATTGTATACTTACTAATTTATATTGATGAAATAATCATCATAGGAAGATCCTCCACAATTATTCAGCAATGTATCAATACCTTAATACACTCACCATAAAAGATCCCTTAGTTTTTTCTCAGTTGACAGTGACTAGGTATGGATAAAGTTTTCAACAAGCTATGGAAATAAAAAATAAGGGAGTAAAGTGAATATAACTACCTCTGAAAAAAAAAAAACTAATGAAGAGAAGGGGACCAAAATGCCTCCCACCCTTCATTGGAAAAAAGAATTGGGGGGGATTTGAAGCTTAGAAAAAAATTTATGCTAATTAACTATCCTTAACTTATGGCTTTATTTTTCTATTTTAGGGATACAATAGTACATTATTTTATTTTCCTCCCCTTCCTTTGTGAACCAAACAAGTTGTGTTTCATTTCCTTCCCCTCCTTTAAACCGAACATGTTGCCTTTCATTTCCTTCCCCTCCTTTGAACCAGACAATGCATTAGGGTGGAGAATGTTTGAAGTCTAATTCTTGAAGAAAAGAAAAACCTATAGAGATGGATTTTTACCTGCAATGCATATGTGATAAACCAAGAAAGATGAAATATACCATCTTTCAAGCCCATCATATAGAGTCCTTCTTTAATCTTCTGTTCCTGAAATATTACATCAATAAATTAGAGATACAAAGAAAAAAAGAGATGATGGTTTTTCATACCTCGGAAATTATTAGAGATAATATTAAAATGCATAAAAAAATATGAGGAAAAGAAAACAGATAATAAAGGGCATTAGAAACAAATCATGGATAACTCACTCATGAAAGCTAGCTCAAGCGAAGAGGATTAAGTCTTGTAAAGAGTATTCTAACCATATTCTTAGCCAGTGCAGGATATCTCAACACACAACTCTTATACCTATAAGTGGACTTCCAGTGCATAAAATTTGCAAGACTCAACTTTTGCTATTAGCCCAAAACTAACATAGGATGGGATATTATATCATATTATGAACAAACTAGGTCTGATGTATGACATTTTCCTTTTTATTTATTGATCCAAGAACATTTTTTTAAACTAATTATTTTCTTCAAAAACCATGCATTTAACTTGTTTTCATTAAAAGCATAACATAATTCAATTTTTCTTAATTTGTTGCATTTTTCATTGTTTTAGCATCAAAGTATGCATTCTTTCATCCATAGTGCATAATTCTCTTTTTTGTAAGAGAAAGGTAATTTGAGAGGGGCGAAATTAATAGTAATAAAGGCTCAAATTCATAGCAAGCATCATGTGTAGTCGAGCTCCACTATTCTAGGAAGCCCAAGTTTGTTTGTACAGCCCACTTGTGAAACGTTACAATTGGAAATTTTGAATCAATCAAATTAACTATTGCGGGAATCTACTTGAGCTAAACTAAAGAATGCAAAAATCAAGAATTAAATGCAAATCAGCATTGGATCAACTCAAATCAGGAAAGAATCTAAATTGTTCCAATAAATCCCAGAAATTTCTCGCAACACAATAATCCAATGCTGCAATTTTTAATTGAGGGAACATTCGATTTTATTGTAATTAATCACAACTTTCTTTCTTTTTTTTCTTGGTTAGTCCAATAAAGGCATGATGAGAGCCAAAACACACAACCTTTTTCTCTTAGGCAAGAACCGTTGTTTTGTCTTGCTCTAGTTTTTTTTTTTTTTCGTTTGGTTTAGTTTTGTTTAGTTTAGTTTTTAATTTGACATGCTTAGTTGGATCTACCGCAATCCTTTTCCGTTTGTTCTCTTTTGTTATTTAATTTGCAATCTCTCTCGAATTTTTCAATTTTATATTGTTGAAATTGCTTTATTCATTATTAGGATTATCAAAGTGAGTCAACCCGGCTCACACGGGTTGGCTTATCACAGGCTGAGTTGAAAATAGGCGAGCCAGAAATTTTGTAACCCACATTTTTTTTTGTTTTTTTTTTCTAATAAGCACGAGTGAATAGCGGGACTGAACGTAATGACGTGGTGGCACTACAAACTCTATAATGCAACTAAACGCTATAATACAACTGAAACACAATAACGTGGTGATGCAATGAATGCACTGGTGCAACAAATGCGGTGGCGTGACAAACGTTGTGGCGCAATTGAAATGCCAGCCTGAAACGCTGTGGCGTTGGCATGACAAAAGTTATGATGCGATTGAAATGAGGAATTAAAACGCGACAAACATTATAACGTAATTGATGATAACCTTGAGTGAGAATTTGACTTGTAGTGACGACATGGAATAGAGGTAGAGAAAAAAAAAACATCAATTAAAATTACTAAATTATTATTCATTATTTTACATTTTAAAATGAATGGTGGGTTGCGAGTCAACCCACCATAATCCGGCTCGAACCCGCTTAACCCATGGGTTAAGTGAGCCGGGTTCATTTTTAACCTATTATCGGCAGAAATGAAAAAAAATCAAACCCAACCCGGCTCGAACCCGTGGTGAGCAGGGTTAGCTCACGGGTTAGAACCCATATTGACACCTCTATTCATTATGCACTCAGTTTAATTTCTATTATTTAATTATTTAGAATTTTTATTTTATTTCAGTATTCAATTTACTTCATTTTCAATTTCAATTTATCAATTTCCCGATTCCAATTTTATTTTCCTGTTTTCAATTCCAATTTTATTTTCCTATGTTCGGTTCCAATTTGCAACTTAAGTTTAGGTTTATCTCTTTCGGAAATTTTAAATTTAATTGCTACACTCTTTTATAATTAAAAGCAATTTTTTTATTTTGCACTTTATTCCTCAAGGTTTTGAATTTAATTAAAGGCACTCAATTTTATTTTTATAAATTCCAGTTATTTAGATTTGCATTAGTCTGCTTCCATTTAACTTTCATTATTATTATGTAGCAATTTAATTTTAATTTTTTGTTATTTTGTTTCCATTTATTTTTCGCTCTTTCGTTTCATTATCATCAATCCCCCATTTTTTGTTATTTTACTGTGTTTTTATAGAGAATGATTTTAAGTAATGGATATGTATCTATAATTGTGTCCTTATGAGATTCAACACAGTTTAGCTATACTACATTAGTTTAACAACTTGTTTATTTATTTTTTTATCAGTATTTTGTGCGAGCAAAATGTTGTCATCAAGACCCAACTCATTTCAAAAGACTAGCTTTGGGGAAGATTATTATGAACAGACTAGGCCTGACTCATTGAAGATGATTGTCCAAGTCTTGAAAGAAATATTCTTGCCATATTGTGGGCCCATTAAACACACAAAGAACATAGGTAAACCAAGAAGCAATACTAACAAAAGAATCAAACCTTCTCAAACACAGAATAACTGATTAGGCGAGAAATTGGATAGAGAAACCCCAACAAGTACCTACACATAAAAGTCTTCATTAAAATAATAACTTGTTTGAGATATAATATAATAACATCCTAAACATGGATACAAAGGTTTCCAAGACAAGCTTACAATATTCCCATGACTTTCTTTATGATTGACTGGAACTGATCATCAGTATACTCTCGAGTGGGAAATGGAGCTATTCGAATGTGAGAAGGGTTAAACTGAGTCCATGGATTTTTCAAAGAGAAAACAGTGTCATGGAAGCCTGGAAGAGGAAGCGTTAGACTTTCAGCACTAAAATTTAAGTCAGACTGTTGCGCTATTAATATTATGAATGAATCAACCATTTGCTGGAGCTACAAAACCAAAAAATATAAATGATTAGTACTGTAACAAAGTATAGATATCAAATTCACAAATAGAAGATCAAGGTGTAAATTTATAACATAGGAAAGCAAGGAAAGAAAGAAGAAAATAAGATTTCCTCGTTCCCACCAATTGACAGCCTAGGGACTTTCTCTCCAAGGAAAACTATACCATTTCTAGCTTTTCATCCTCAATTGCTCCTCATATCCTGAATTAACACTCCTTTGTGGGTATCCATCCTTAAGGACCCAATCAACAAAATCTTCATCTTCACCAAATGTGGGTATCTTTAACCTCCTCCATCATTCTTGTTGTCTTTATGCCCGATCAATCTAAGATTTTCCCCTCACCCCCTCATATTCATCTCTATAAAATACAGAATCTCTAGACCCACCTTGCATACTTGCATCCATTTTCTGCATCGACTACACCATAATTGCTTCCAGCCTCCAAATTGCCCCATGATCAGAAACTTGGGTTCTAGTCAGATTTCCAACAACGTCTCCACAGTTTGATCCTCCCTTTCATTTTCTTGTCAACCATCAAATTCGTCTTTTGGTGTATTGCCTAGAGCTCTGGTGCCAGTTGACCAATTGGTCCATAATTAATCAAACTAGGGTTTAACAAGCAGATGAGGGAAAGAAGAAAGATCAAAAGTTTTATTGCTTAATGAATGAGAATTATGAACTGTGACTTTCCAAAACTGATGAATAGTTTTTTTCCCTTATTTTGAACAGCGTATCTACCACTATTTAACTTTATAATATGGGTCTAGATATAACACAATACTACAGAACCATCTTCTAAAGTGAAGGTTGTTCCCCACTTGCATACTTTATTTTAATCATATCTCTAGTCAATGTAAGATCGTTAACACAATCCCTTATGTCGATTACTACACATCTCAAACATGCAACTAGACATTAGTGGGTGATAGACAGCAACCTAATACCAGGTGGCACAATAAGCCAACAACCATCACTAGAATAGATTTTAAAAACACCATAGAATTTGGGTTTAAACCTAATTTAATCCTACAAAACTAGTTTGTAAGATGAGGGTTATCACTTGCTTATAGGCTCTAGTTTAGTCATATATGTAGATGCAGGATCTCTAATACCAACAAAGTAATTGTATGTTACAGTGACCCATGGGCATAATTCCCTCTAGCCTCTTATTGCTTCTACTATACACTTTAGGATTTGGATTCTATCATCCTAATGCGAGAAATATTACACTCTCCAAGTTCCAACTACTACGATATATTCAAAATACATACTAGAGGTAATAACATAGGTTTAGGAAACAAATAAGAAATTGAATGAGAATAATGTAGCATACAGTCAAAAACCCACTAAAGCTGTATTGCATTGTTGGTACAGCACTAACACCAAGTTCCAAGTCATTAAGAAAAGGGCCATTTGTATCCATTATTGTTGTAACATCGGGAAAACCGGAGAAAGCCCATGTGTGATTGAGGCGTATGCTATAATCAAATGATTGAGGGCCTTGTTCATAAAACACAACTGCCCCTTTAATTTTGGGATTTGAACAATTCCTGAACAGGTAGAAGAGAAACAAAGAAAAGCAATCAATAAAACAACCCATACGAATAAAAGCATCATTTTTCATATTTCATAACACTAGCTAATGAAATTACAGTAAAGACATCACTAAAGCTAAATAAAGTTATTACAATCTAAAAGAGGAAGTCATATGAATAATTTCCATTTTACAGAAAAAAATATAAAAGAAAAAGAAAGTAAATACAGTAGGGGATAAAAGAGTAGGGGTGTTCACAAGTTGTATTGGGTCAAATTTGACCAAACCCATGACCCAATTCAATAACAATATCTTGGGTTGGGTCTTCATATTTTTTTTGTTAGACCCAATCCAATCTAATCCAACCCACCCTTAGATCAAGCTCGATTAAGTTGGGTCAATCGGATCATAGATTAAAGATATTATTTTATTAAAAATTTTAATTTCAAAACACTTTTTTTAATTTTTTAAAAATATACTATATTATTTAATATTTGAATAATTTAATCTTTTAAAAATATATATTTAATTAATATAATAGTTGAATAAATTAAATAATAGTTATATTACTATTTATTAATATTAATAATATTTAATAATTTTAACTGGATGAGTTGGGTTGGGTCTCGGATTGAACATATAAATCCCATCACCCAACCATAAGGGATTGAGTTGGGTCGGGTCGGGTTTGAATTACACAGAAAACTCAAACCAATGAAGAGAGTGACTAATTTTTCTTTCATATGAAGAAAATATAACAAGAGATATGCACATGACCACTGAACATAGACATCCATGTATTCATGCAACACAGATGATAACCCAGAATACTAATAAAGAAATAAATAATCTATGAAGCAACTTAAATCTCAATATCCGAGAACTCTAAAGTATGTAGATAGGATGGAGCACATGAAGAAGAACAAATGAGAGAAAAAGTCAGAAACGAGTAAGTATTATTGTCCAGCTATCCAAGGAGACTCTCCTTACAACTGAGTGATTCAGTTAATCAATAAGAATAAAACCTAAATTGTTATCCACAGATGCAGCATTCCTAGACATATATAAACCAGATAATACCAAGCCTATTATTATATTAATTGTCCTAATAATAGCCAGCCCATCATTTCTTTATCCATGCATACACCTTCCACTCTATTTCCTGGGTTGAGCCTCTCTGAGCTATTGCTAAACCACTAACAAGATATCTCAAAAATTATCCTATATTGGTTTGTCAGTATCCTTCATCCCTTCTAGCTATATATATAACAAGAAGTGTTTTCTTTACCTTGTCTCTTATTGTAACATATCAATTAAAATAACATATCATTCCAGTAGGATTTATGGCCAAAATGTTAAAAGGAATTTACCTGGCTTGATTGCAGGTACCATAAGCATCAGAGCGGATGTAGGTTTCCAACTCTACCTCATCTTTGTATACTCTACTAACTAGCTGCATATAGTAACCAAATTTTAGTTGGCTTAAGTTGAAGAATAGATAATATACTTATCTGCTTAATGTAAAAATTCAGAAAAGTAAAAGTTGTAAGAGAACTTTCTTAAAGATGCATATAGTTGCATGAAGATATCAGCGAGTTAAATTAGCAAGACAAAGAAATAAAGCTGTGACCTAATTTAAATTTAGCAGGAAAATGACTTCTGTACACAGGCGCCTTGGGAGTTTGTAAATTTCAAATTACATTTTTCGTTGAAATAACCATCATTGAAATTTTTGTCAAATTTTTGTTCTTCGGTAAAAGAAAAAAACGATAAAAAGGCTGGTTTGATGATGTGAGAAGCCAAGCTTTTCTAAGAAAATAGCAGTCGCTAGTTAACAATTTTTATACACTAGTTAACTTGTTTCAAATACCAAGATTATTTTTTTTACAATAAGATACAGGAATAATACAACATGAATACAGGGATACAGCATTTTTTTTAAATAATTTAGGATAGATGTGTACTGGATAAGTTAACAAAAATTATAGAAAATTTTATATACATCCAAAATATTGGTGAATGTTGGAGATCATTGGCCAAATTATAATATATAATTAAGGTACAAACCGATTTTATAGGATTGAGTTACACACCTCTTCATTCACTATTAATAGTGAACAAAGAGACATTGATCATTTCTCCTTAAATTATAACTACTCCAATTGCTCTCACAACATGAGGAACCACATGGCTGCACAAGAGGGGTGGTAGAAGATCATGCATCAACCACGATGTTGTTCAATAACTGAGATGTTGGCACCATCATGCCGTATCTTGGCTCTTTGGACCCTTGAGCCATTCCCCATCCAATACTTGCCATTATATGACATCATCCACCATGGAACTCACAATGCCGTGGAACACATGGCAGAACTCCCCACTTTTTCCTTTCTAATAGCCATTTTTTTCTTTTTCTCTGTTTAATCTCCATCTGTTGCTCTTGATTTCTTCAGATGTTCCTCACCTCTTTTTCTCTCTTCTTTGTTTTGTCTATTGTTATTCTCAGTTTGTCTGTTCTTATTCTTCACTTGTTCAATGTTTGAATGCTTTGTTTTATCAAAAATTCAGAATTTTTTTCTGTTGTTTAGAATTTCAGAATCATGTTGGTCTATTTTTTTTATTAAACCTATAATGTTGTTACCAATTCTTTTTCACTTATAGGACAAAGTCAAGCACCCAAAATCAAATTCTTCTGACATTTGTAATTTCTCTTGGATTTTACTCTACAAATTGTTATTTTTAATTTATTTATGCTATTTTAAAAATATTTTTGCAGCTTTTTAGTTTTTATGCATATATATTGCAATGGATGGAAGACCCATCGACTAAAACAAGAACCAAAAGAATTAAAAAGGTTTTTCAAATACTCGTCATGGAGATGAAAGCTAGAGATCTGAACAGCACAATGAGCTCAATTCTTTATATTCAAAATGAATCTGCTTGCTGGAGTTTGTTTGGATGGATCACTTAGCTTTTGGACTAAATAATTAGTTAAACTCAATTCTCTTATTCTTCATATATTTTTTGTATTTTTTTGTTGAAATAAGTTCAGGTGTATTTTGATGTTTTCTAGACCAAAATAAAGTTCTTTTTAACTTCCTAAGCCATTATGATAGTTAATGGGTTAGTGGGAAGTGAATTCTGGTCGGAAATAAATGCTTAGAGGGGAGTAATTGTTAGTGGGTAATTGATGCCCATTAGTAATTCACTACATGACCAAGGTAGCTTAATCATAAATAAGAACATCTTGTAAGCTTCCGAGGCCTATTATATATATATATATATATATATATAATTTGCACTCCAATAATTGGGGCAGACAATATGGTACATTTCATCAATTTGGAGAAATCAAAGCAAAATTTCACCCGCATATCAGGGGTAAATTAAGCCTAGAAAAATCAAATACTTTAAGACAATGAATGAATGGGTACCTTCAAGAGTGGAAACTTTATTGACACTACATCTATCAACAGCTTCGTCTCATCAGTATCTGGTGCAAAAGCTAAATACTCTCCCTTATCAGATAAGGATTGCAAAACTTGTTGAAAATTGGGGGATATGCCTTTGCCCACTTCCACAAACATATCTTTTTGAATGTGCCTGCTCCATTTCCATATTAACGTTACTCCTCACCAAAAATCAAATGTGAAAAATATTCAAAAATTCCCTCTACATAAACTAGCTTTCGAAAGTATTTCCATTTACTTTTACTTTCTAAATATAAGAGTATTAAAAAAATATCAAAATTTGGTATTAAAAAATAAATTAAAACCTTTTTCAGTTCTTCATACAACACAGGACAGAGAAATAATTAAACTACACTTAAACGGTAACACTGAGCAATGAACAAAAACACTCACGGCTCAGCTGGATGAATTTGTGTATCCTCTTTTGTCCTTATAGCTACTAACAGCAACAACACGATGGTAGGGAGCAAAATCTGCCATGGATTGAGTGATATGCATCAGAATTCCAGTATTCACTAGATTGAAATGCAGTTGGAAGAAAACAAACAAAAAAACACGCATACAAAACCCTAAACACATCTTTAAAACAATATAGTAATGCACATATGTACCATAAAAGAAACATTACCTTACATAACCGGACAATTAATCAATAACTTTTATAAAGCAAAAAAAAAGTCAACCGTTAAGAAAACAAGTAAGAAACAAATAAAGGACGAAACATAAATCAAAGATCATCGTGAAAAACCAACCAATCACCTGTAATCGTTGAAATTAAGCAAAGGATCAAATTCATAAAACAGAGAGACTGTGTCTTTGTTCGTGTAAGGAGCAAGTGAAATAGAGACAGAGATGCATAGAAGGATAAAGTTGAAACTGAGAAAGAGAATGCAAGAACCTCGGCGGCAGTGACGAAGGGATGACGAATCTTGAGGAGGCAGTTCTTGCGGAGCATGACCTTCAACTGCCTCCACGCAGCCCCCATGGCTGCAAAACCCTAAAAGGAGAAGCGACGCAGTTGTGGTTCAGAGAGAAAGAGTTCAATAAGCGAAGGAAAGAAGGAAGAAGATGGTGCAGTGTACTCTTTCCGTTGAAGTCACTCGTAATTTGGCTGTAGTGAGAGAAGGTGGAAGTTTATGATCACTAAACAGACACCACCAAACGCACCAGCATCTCCTATTTTTTATTTCTTTCGTTTTAAATTATTTAATTAACTGTGTCTGCCTGCAAAAAGCGCAAGCGAGCTAAACAAAACAGCGGTGTTCGGATAAGTGTGGGAATATTTATTTATTAATTTTATTTATTTATTTTCGAAATAATTGTGGGAGTTAAATATTTAATTAAAATATTTTGAGCGGGGGTGGGGTTGTTACTTGTCGAGAATTTGTCCTGCTCGGTTTCGGTTGAGACTTGGCGGGCCGGTGTCGTCTTCTTCTCTTCTCGCGAGAAACAAACGAAACAAAGAATGGAAGCGGTATTGTCTTGACATAGTAATTGGCTGCTCTGAAATTAAGAACGAACAAGATATTTTTATTCAAGATTATTTTCTTTGACGGCTTTTTCTACCTAACAAAGAATAAAAAATCTAAATATTTAAATCTAACTTTAATTACCCTAATTTAAATTATTTTAAAACTATTTTCATAAATCCATTACAAATTTAAATTTAGAATAAATATATTAAATATTTTTTATATTTAAAATTAAAGTTTATCCCAAAATTTTATTCATCAAAAAAATTCACAAATTTTTTTACTTAACTTATAAAATATGTTTTTAAGTCGATGTTTAATATTATAATTTTTTTAATTTTTCTATTTTAAAATAACTTCTAAATTTTTTTTATTATATAATCAATTTTTCCTCATATTATTAAATATGTGTTTATTAAAATAAAAAACAACAATTTTCATATTTGAGAGACTTGATTACACTACGAGTTTTCTTATTTTGGATTTGGAAATTCCTTACCAAATCAATTAGAAGTCAAATTCCTTCAAGAAGACCTTGTGCTGCAATCTCTTAAGCCTCATACCTCATAATACTAAAACGAGACCTTATTTCTTAATTCCTTTTCCACCTTCATCTCATTATTATCTAAAATTTCTATTTATTTGAATAAAAAAACATGAATTTGAATTTTTTTATATAAAAAGGAGTGAGAAAAGAAAGATTTAATTATAATAATTAAGACTTAAATAACTAAATTTAAATAAAAAAAACTATATGAATATCAATATTATACAGTAATCAAATTAAAATCACTTTTTTCCATTTTAAATCATAGTTATACAATGATATTAAATATTTTAAGGAAAAGGTTTACCATTTTAAATAGTCTAACTCATCTTAAATAATATTTTTATTAAGTTTACCATGATTAATTTACCAATACCTACAAAATAATAATATTTCATTACAAAACCGATGCAATGTTATTAAATAAATCTTACAAGTGTTGTGGATAAAAAATTAAAACCAAAAGAAAAAATTTCGGGACTGGTAAAAATTATAATAAAAAAATTATTAACAAATCCATACACATTCTCTTTACTAAAAAAAATACATTTATTTATTTTCGATTCAAACTATAGCTTAAATAAATAAAATATTTAGATGCTATCATTATAGTGCTTTGGTAACGAAATATGTTACATCGAACCATAAATATGTTATGGTCATTTTGTATCTGGTGAAATAATAGAACATATGTTAGGTAAATTAATGGTTATAAATATTGATCTGTAAAAATGGTTTAAATATAATTGTATTAATGTTTTATTAATTTAACATCTAAAATAAAATTTAATTATAAAAAAGGTATTTCTCTCAAAATCAATCCATCTAAAATTAATACTTTTTACCTTATAATTTATAAGAAAACAAAAAATAGCGTGCAATTGTAAATTAAGGTTTGAAGAAATAAAGGGCATTTTGGTACGTAAACAAAAGTGAGAACCATTAATTGATAAACAGAACATTGGGCAAAATAAGCCCCACGAGTCCTTTTCCACGTGACCACAGACCCATTATCAGAGTGGTTCACAAAAGCAAAATATTTCTTTCTTTTTTTTTCAAGAGATTATTATTATTATATCAGGACAATTTTTTTTACTTTTTTTTCAAAAATTTTTCTAGAAAAGAAAATAAGTTTCTTCATAAGGTAGAAATTAAAAATAAAAATTTTAAAACGTTATGTAAATTTTTCTACATTTAAATATAAACTAATTTTAATTTGTGAAAATTTATTCTTTTCTCTCTAATAAAAACTTATTCAACAAAATCCCTATCTTAGATTTTTATTATTATTATTATTATTATTATTATTATTATTATTATTATTATTATTATTATTTATTTACTGTATCAAAATACTCATTCGATTAACTATTTAAAGTTTTTCAATATAACAAATGAATATGTCCCCTAAGACGTTATTTTGATTAGGAAGAGAAAATAATTAATTTAAAGACAAATTTTAAAAATAATACTTACGAGAATATAAGTCTATTTTAAAAAACAAAAAGTAAACATTCCAATTATTATGAAATTAAGGAAGTATTCCTAAAGAAGTAGTTGAAGGTTGGTTTTTTTGAAGGCATAAAAAACACATGGATGAATTTTGTCTTTTTCAACATAATTTTCTTCATTCATATACTCAATTACAGTACCCCAATGGAACATGCATTATTTTAGTTATTTGGACCATATTATTTATATTATATACTTTGCAGGACTTGTGATGTTTATAGAAGAAGCATAGTGCATTTTTTTTTTTTAAATGTTCTATTAAATAGAACGGTTGGTAGAGGTTGTTTTATACATAATGTAGCGTGATTATTAAAATTTGGAGGATTTTGTATTATTAGACTTTACTCATTATTTAATATACATGGCATGTTGGCACTTGTCCCTTCCTTATCTTCAAATATTAAACCAATTTTAAAATTTTGTCTAAAAAAATAGGATGAGGTTTCCTTCTTCATTTGTTAAGAATAAATCAATGTCAATAATAAGAAAATGCAGTGAGCTTTTGAATTATTTTAATAAGTATACATAAAATAAAAGAATGTAACTTTATTTTTTTCATGAGTACCACCTTTGGAGATTATCTTTTTTAAAACTCGGTCACACACTAAATGTAAGACTTTTTCTTTGCAATAATTTGAATATTGGTTTGGTAAGATATAAGCAACTAACCCCATCCATGGAGTCAACCACAACGGCATAATATAGGGATGTTTAAAAGTGTTGTTTACCACCGAATTACACAATGAGAGAAATGAGAGAAAAAATAATTTATATGTTGCATCATTAAAAAATAATAATAATAGTTATTATAATAATTATTATAATATTAGTTATTATTATTATTATTATTTAGAGGGAGAAATATGTAATGAATAAACAAAAAATAATAATTAAAGAAACTGTTAAAAAAAATTCTAAGAAAGGAACAAATAGAATGGATCATTACTTTATTTACGATAATTTATTAAAATTAAAATTCTGGAGGGACTAGGATCTTTCCATATCCCTTTGGATTCATCTTTTCTATGAGTACAAGGTATAAGTAGGTAATGTGCGGGTTTATTGGTGTATTTTTAGGTTATACATAGACTACTCTTTATCAAACTTTAAAGTAAAATAACAATATCAAAGCAAGTGATAATATGTGACACAATGATCTTTAACTTAGTTAGGATAATTTTATTTTATACCCAATGCAATAGATAGATAACTTGACAGTGAATCAACTTACATAAAATATTAAATGTTGATTTATTATTTATTATCATATTTTTTATTTTAGTTAATTATTAGAAATTTTTAAATCTAAAATATATATAAATAAGTTATAAGTTTCACTATCATAATTCAACTCAAATCTATTTAGTTTATGGGTTAAGTCAATAGAGTATATTTTAGTTCAAAATTAACAAAAATAATTCAACCAAATTTAATTCCAAAATCATGATGTGTCAAGTTGGCTTACAAGTTTCTTATTGACAATTATATTTTAGTATATTTATCTCATCTTTCCTATTACGATAAAAATATCCTTAACATCATCTTCCATTCTCCTTATGAATGAAAAATGAGTACTCGTCTTCATTAGTTGGTCATCTTCTCTTTTCTCTCATCTTCTAATTCTATTACAATAAGTAACTTCATCTATAGATGTTGTAATCTTACCAAACTCTATTACTTATCACATAAAATCTATGTAAACATTTTTGTTTGTCTAACAATGTAATTTTTTAACAAAATTAAAATATTAGACTAAAAATTAAGTTTACGTTTTAAAGACACTCAACTAATATCAACAATGTATTGTAACATACTAGAGAACTCAATATAGTCTCAAATCAAGATTATCCAAACAATACCACCCAATCATGGTCATATAAATATCATATAGTAGTTATAAGAAAGGTAGGATGACTGATTCATTACAAACCATGTTAACACATCATATTTTCACTGACTTGAGCATCAGAGTATCTTTGCATATATCCCTTCTGCTCATATCAGAATCGAAAGTTAAATACTAAGAACCGAAAGGTACGAAACAAAAACTTGGAAATAAAGACCGAGACTCTTGGTGATTGATATGGTAAAAGAGTCCATTAGTGTTCAACCTTATAAACCTTATAAGAACAAACAATTTTGTAAGAAATATTTTAATATATTTTTCATATATATATGTACATATATATATATATATATATATATATATATATATATATATATATATACGCGTGGTTAGGTGAAATAGTTAACTTTTTCTTGTCTTTTTAAGCATGCATGACAAGTTTAAGTATATTAGTAAGTTGAAATGATATCCAATTCATCCAAGTGATCTTGAATAGATGAGCATTATCTCTAACAAGTGTACTTTTTTTATTTTTTCTATTAAATTCTTATTGAAAGTAAAATATACTTTTGATACTTGAATAAAATAATTTGATATTACAAATTATGAATATTATTTTTTTTAACAATTATCTAATAATTTGTTGACATGTAAATTAAAAAAAAGGAAAATTTTATGTAACTTCTTAAAGAAAAAAGTTATGTAAAACTTTATTATACAATAACAATTTATTAATAGGTAAAATATGTTTTCATGTAATAATTATTACAAAAATTTGTGTTTAGTATAATTTTTTTTTAACCTTTATATATTATCAATTACTCCATTTTCAATAATTACCATTAAAAAAATTGTTTGTTTGATGTCACATTATACAATAAGTATTAAGTTATTAAGGTATGTGTCTTTAAGTGCTAGTCAATTAATAAGGCTAGTGACATGCACATAAGATATAAGTCTTTATTATAGTATGTATGAAAATAATAATATTATTTTTTGGTTATTGTTTAATAGAGTTGATTATAAATATAATATGTTTATAAAGAATTTCATTAACATTCCATATATAACATGAATAAGTTTGTGCTGCAAACCAACCACAAACTTATTAGTAAACAATATGTTTATCACATAAAAAGTAGTCATTTGACAATATTGTTAAGCAACTATGCTTTTTGTTAAGAGGGTTAAGCATAACATTACCATGATATTATTTTTTTTCTCCCAATAAGGTGAACCTCTTCATCAAATAAGTCATTGTCCATTCACCATGGTGGTGATGAACTTGTCTTAAGCTACCAATGATATACTATTAAATGACTCAATGAGATTGTTAATCATTACATCAAATTTTACATGATCACTAAATACATATATATTTGTACCATGTGCTCCTATTCAAATTTCATGACCACCAATGTGCATCATTATGGTTTTCTTGATTTAGTCATTTTAGCTTCCCAATTAGCTATAAAAGCTTTTATCGTGAGATCTTTTATTAGTTTGGCTCTTCCAAACATTTTTTTTTTTAATTTGTTATATAAATGCATTGTACAAAAGCAATGCTCACTCTAACCACATATTTGGTCTAGAAGAGGAACAAATCCTTACAAAACAATATATTGGATTAGTCTTATACAAATGCAACAAAAGAACAATTTAGATTAGCTTTAAAATTCTAAATCTTATCTTCTATTGATTTAATATAATAACCTTTTTTTTTTTTAACAACCAATATCATTAAAGAACAATGTTGGAAATCATGACCAAATATATTTATTTGTTGTGTCCGCAATTGTGAAAGTAATGGGCAAGTGTGTCAATTATCATCTCTACTAATTGCTACCAATAACTAATTTTTATATAAATAATCTAAAAGTCTACTGAAGAGTTTTTTTATGCCAATCTAAAGAAACATAGAATCTATTAAATCTAAGGTTGTTGCAATTCAATTCACTAATCATGTTTTCCTTACAAGCTTTTCTCACATCGCTAGGATATGACTACAACATGGAGTATTGTTTATCAATATCTCCATCAATTTTCATTTGTCATTTAATTATTTACCGGAATTAAAAAATATATATTATACAATTTAGCATGACTTTTTTATATTTAAATTAAATATAAAACAAAGTATTTCTTATACAACACTATAAACTATAAATCTTAACATTTATTATACTACATGATATAAACTAACAATTTTGGTATAATAATAATTAAAAACTTAATGAAATAATTAGCAATATATTATTATTAAATAAAAAATTAATGACACTAAATACAAATATTATTAATAATCATTCAAAAGTATTTTTCTTTCCGTTAACACAACATTGATAGAGTAAAATTATGTAACCTGAAGTTGTGAAAATAATAAATCATATTGGGAAAGTTGAAACTAGCATATAAGTATGATTACCATAATTAAAAAAATAAATTGAAAAAAAAAGAGGGTATAACTTTAAGTTGTCAAGGTAAATTTTCTTTTATCTATCTATCTATCTATATATATATATATATATATATATATATATATATAAAATTGTATACAAATTCCATACTGTTAATAAATTAAAATTGACCATATAACTATAAGTAAAAATGATATTATTTCTTATAAGTAAATGTATTTTTTAATATTTTATGCAGGCCCTTCTGTTATTTTTAATTTTATTAAACCAATGATAAGAATAAAAATACGTATGTCTCTTAATTAAAATACAATTATCTGGAACTCAACAACAATGTTTCATGATATTCAATCAGAAAGAATAAAAGAATAATTTCACTCACTAATTTTATCTCTATTTTTGTTCTTGCCAAATTTTCCATCTTACAAAAAGTTCTCATGGAAAATAACGTTGCCTGGGGGTTGGGGCGGCTAGAAATTGAATGAGGGGGGTTGTGGCGTGAAGCATGCTCCCAGTTCATGTTTGCTAAGTCAAATTTGGAACAGTGCAAGAAATATTGGCATTTTGGCGTGGCGATAAGTACGTAAATGAGAATTTGATATATCATCTCACCGACTGCACCGGAGATTTTTAGGCATAAGGCACGATGTCTCCAAATTTCTAACTTAATTATATTTTTATAATTTTGATTTCCAATTTAATAATTATTTAATACATTTATTTAAATATTTATAATTTTAATTTCCATTAAAATAATTTATGAATATATATTAAATAAAAAATTGTATTCTCACAATTTTTAATATTTTTATTATTTATTAATAAAATGTTATTCGTTAACCTTTGCAAATACATTGTTAATGGTACGAAAGGAAAACGTTAAGTAAAAATTTCAGTACTGTTTTACTTTTTGAACACTTACACTTCAATCTAATCTCACTTGAACGGTATGTCCGAATCATCTTGCTTTCTCTCCTTATTGTGCTTTACTTGACGTATATATGCTTTTTTTTTTAAAGAAAAAAACTTAAAAAGAAAAAGGTAAAATATATTATTATAAATCTGGCTATCCGTGAAAAAGACAATTTCAGAAATAATATGTGACAAGAAGAACACGTTTACTAAATTAAAAATTCACAACGAGGTCCTGCGAACAAACATGCTAATCTAAGATGAATACGGAATGGGCATTGCTTTATGCTCCTTCATTTTCTCTATTCACACCTCCCAAGTTATATTTCTGTCCAAATTTTATTTTGATACCATCTTTACGCGAGTTTGGTTTTATTGTTTCGGAATATAAAATCTGAACGTCTATTTGTACATTCTAAAGTTTAATATATTCAGAAGTCTATTTGTATATTCCAAAGTAAACTTTCGAAGATATATTTGAATGTTCCAAACTTAAACTAGAAATTTGTATCTTCCGAAATCAAACTTCTAGACATTTATTTGTTAGACAATCTACAATTAAACTGAGTCAATTTGTAGAAGAAAATAACGCCTGATGAACACGTTCTTACATAATTCCACCTCTTATTCTGTACAGAATATTTCGCATAAAATCAAAATTTATCTAACTCTGATTGCATATACACATGTTGGAGATATTAACTGATACATATCTGACTTGAAATGAAGTGATTCGTGCTGATCCTATATTTCTATCATCGATGAAAAACCACGGTAATATATTATTTCATCTGACATCTATAACCCATGTAATCTTTGCAAAAAAGCCATGGGACATTCGCTTAGTCGACCTGCTTGAGCACACAGACCAATATGCCGTTCTTTGTTTGATACAGGGCTCAGCTTTCAGGTGCTTGCCTTTGGGCCATTTTTACAATTAGAAATTCAAATGTCCAGTCATTCCTCTGGCTGAAACATTGTGTACGTTGAACTGGTCTCTGTCTTTGTAACCTGCACATCAAAACCAAGTGTTCTTGGTAAGGTGAGTTTACAAGAAAGTGACAAGCAATTTTTATCTTACCATACCATATACAATCAATTGCTTCGAGTAGCTGACGATTTTGAATTGAACAATTATTGTCCCCGCCAACTTATTATTGTCAGATAAAGCTACACTGCGTTTTCGTCTATAAATTGTTAAATAGTTAGGAAATTTTGCGCAACCAAATCTCCAGGAAGTAAGAGAGGGCTCGAAATAGTAACAATGTAGAAAATTACAACTTCTGCCACTAACAAAATTTCATCCTTATGTTCTCCACATTGTGTCAACAAGAAGTGCTAAGAACTCGTAATAATGTTTAGCTTTACATTCATCACAGAGATAACAAATTAAATTTGTTGACAGTACCATGCTGGCTTAATAGCATAGGAAATCAAATCTTCATAAGCAGGTAATCACCAGACTTAAAAGGATTACTATGTGATAATTCAAAGCAGATTTTACAGAAAACAAATTTTAATGGATACAATCACACAAACTCGGGCAGATTATTTATGCTCTTAATACTGGGTTTTTTCTCAAATTTGATGAATTATATGTTTTGAATATCATTATACGCTCTCTACTATTTTAACCTGTTAAATAACTTCTCATGTAATTTCAATCATCCAAAAAAAAGTAAAACACTTGGTCATTATACCAACCTCAGCTGTACGAGAAAGGTTAGCAGGAAGTATGGGAACAAGCGACGTCCAGAGAACAGGATCCACCATTGGATCAACAGTATTGTAGGCTGTCAAAAGTGGAGCAGACAAGAATGGTGTCAAAGGGTAGACATTTCTTTGAAGAGGCATTGTCGCACTCATTCCCATTGCAACATCGAGCTGATCATTTCCTCCATCTTGATTTATCGGTTTCTCAACTGCTTTTCCATGATCCAACTTGTTAACTGCATTTTTGTTTTCATTCTCATCATTATCAATACTAGTTTCCTGTCTCTTTGACGCTTTCTCTTGCAAGCTTTTGTAAGCAGCAGATTGTGAAAGGATACTTAAGGCAGAGACTGAAGAACATCTATGCTTTTTCTCATTGTGCGGCCTGGCTAACTGAGGCATCTGATAAGGTTCTGTTGGTTGAACTTTTTGTTCCAATTGTTTTAGTTCACTGCAAATATCACCAGCAGAACCAAGTTTTTTTTCTTCTGATGATCTTGTCCCAGCGTCAGAATGTCGAGTCTTATTAGATCCCCACCATTTGATGTGACTTGTTAAATCAATCTTTCTTTCAATGCAGAAACCACTTGCATATTCACTTTCTGCTGCTGAATCATCCCCTGCACCTTTAATGTTGTAAAACAATAAAACAGGTGAAAATAGTTTAAGAAATTTTTTTTTTCCAATATGTGGTGCACAAACGAACATAATTCATATAACTCTGTTTAGCAGAAGATTAACTTGAACTTTAAATTTGATTAGAACATACCATAATGCATGCTATTGAAGTAATCAGATCCAGACGTACGCCCATATGGTGACTCCCATCGACTAAATTTTTTAGCACCACATGCAAGATGAACTTTAAGTTAGCAACCAAATTCACATCAGAATTTATACATTGGATGGATGACAGCTATACCAGATCATAAAAATCTGTAGCTGTGTAGCAAAGCAGAGAAGAACTAGCTCCACATACATACCCACCCAGACGCAAGAGATGTGGATATAGAAAAGAAGTTAATTGCCAGACAGCTTCTGTAAACAAAAGTTGATAGGGTCACACACCTGGAGAGTCCACGATACTTGGATAGTCCTCTAGAAAAACCACTGCTCTTCCTGCAGAAAGCATCACGTGTAAGAAGCAGCATGGATGTATGATAGAAAACATTTCTAAGTATACACACACCGCCGTAAAGATGCAAGGTACTCTTCTCTCGACACATTTTGCATTTCTTCAAGATCTCTTGTATAGTCAGTCACCTGCAGCACACACATCAAAAGCACTACAAAAAATTACTATATTCACCAGCGGAGAATAAAAAACACCCTTTTACTACCAAAGGGCGCCGGATCTATAGTCTCCACTTCCAAAACCTAGTCGACAACAAAATATTTCCATCTTATGCTACCTAATACCTCAGTCAAAGAAGGCATCATAGATACTGTACCAAATAGTCAATAGTTAAGATACATAATTAGTAGGACACAATCTTCATTAACTTACCGGAAAGTTAATGAGTGTCCCTGGACCCCAATATTTGAGAGCAGCAAGATCATATGCTCTAGCAGCTGCTTCCTCGTCATCATATGCCCCTATCCAAAATCCATCAGCAACTAACATCATTTACCTTACAAAATGATGCAGCACGAGCAATTTCAATTATGATGATAAGCAGAAGAATAAGACTATATTTGGATAAACTTCTCAACATACATTTAGAGAAGAGAGCGAAATAAGAGAGTAACTAAATTAAACTTATCCCATACACAAACTCTCTTTCGTCTAACTATGTCCAGTGGTGTATAAGTTGATTTTAACATACAGAAGAAGTTTAATTCATTGTCAGTAATTTTTGTCTCCTAGACGTGTTTATTTCGAAGTTTATCCAAACATGATCTAATAAATGCGAACTGAGCACCTCATTGCAAACTCACCCAAGTAAACTGGCGCCAGCACGCACAAACCATTGTCCAACGAACCAATTCACGAACAACAGAAAAAACAAAACAAAACAGGTAAGCAATTTCAGCCTGACACAAGTCCAAACCTGAAACGAAGAACCAAAACAAACCAAACCTTGTTTTCCCTTCTTATTCTGATTCTGGTTCCACGTACTCTTATCCCAAAGATGCGCTTCATAACGACCAGTCCATCTATGCCTAATCAACCAATCCATAAAATTCCGTTAGAAACAATCCAAGGCACAGATTCATTTCAAACCTCGCAATCACTTCATAAGTCGATCGGTTTCAACTCCGGAGAAAAAAACTCCATTCTTTTTTATTTTCTTATTTTACGGAGAAGTTAATCCATACTGAACCTAACTAAGTAACTACCTGGTGACGCCGCGGTAAATGGAGCTGCGTTTTCCGGCGGCGCAGGGAGGCATTTTGCTGATACGCTCTTTGGCGGTGCAACCTCTCTCCTTCTTCGCCTTTTTCAATCCTCGGTAGAGCAATAGCTGATCGGTAGCCACCGCTTCCGACGTCTCCGCCGACTTTCCGGGATCGGAAGAAGACGAAGCCATGATCGCAGCAAACCCTAACCCTAACCGTAATCTCTGTGTGCGTGAGATATAGAGAGAAGTGCGTGTGTGAGTGAGAGAGAGAGAGAGAGAGAGAGAGAGAGAGAGAAAGAAAGAGAATGAGTGATTGGAATTTGGGAATGGAATGGAGTGAAATGGGAGTGGGAGTGGGAGTGGGAGGGAGTGACTGGGGAGGAAAACTACAAAGGAAGAAGAGGAATGAGCGACGAGTGAGATTGGTTACCAAAATGCCCTTTCCAATGTGTAAAGTAGCACTGTGAGGCGATGTAACGGCTAGGACACCCTGAGGGTACCGATGTCATTTTAACACGTTTTGATTAGTATAACAATTGTGCATGTTCGGTGCCACGTGTTGTTGCTACTGATTCCATTTTCCACACTCACCATGCTACTTACTAACCTGCCACCAATAATTTTTTGAAATAATGTTATTTCTTGTTTTATATATATATATATATATATATATATATATATATATATATATAATGATTGTTATTACCCACTGTAAGGTAATTAAAGTTATATATAAATAAACCAACTTTTTATAAGGATTTCAAAAATAATAATTTCTAATTAATTTATACATAAATTTCATATAATTTTTTCAAATTTTTATTCATTAAATAAAATTTTCATTTGGATCTTTAAATAAGTCGTCTATTATGCTTCTCAAATATAAGTTTCTTAAGTTAAAGCTTAAAGAATTAACTTCATCTCCTTAATACTTTTCAAATTCATATTTAGTTCTTGGTTTATAGCTTTTCACAAAACAATTTTTTGGTGTTAACAATAATTTTTATCTTTATTCTTTATTGCGTATTTAATTTCTTATGGAAAAATAGGCTTCGTCTTGTCCCATTCGTGCAGTAGATTTTGGAGAAGTTTTTTTTTTTTTATGTTCTAGAATTAGAAATAGAAAGAAAACTTGATTTCAAATTTGTTGCATTTATGTAAAATAGAACTTAAGTTATTAAAATTGAAGGGTGGTGTCAGTTAATTTTGGTGAAATTAAATCAAGCAAAAGATGTGAATCTAATTAGGTTAAATTAAGATGGTAAGTATTTTTTTTCTAATTTGAACTAAACAACGATATTGTAAGAATGTCAATGGGAATAATAGAATTGCAATTGAAAATTGTCAACTTTGATATTTTAAATTTTTTATGTCCCAAAATGTAATGTATTGTGTTTGTCCATTTTAAAAAATAAAAAGAAAAGAAAAGAAACTCCTGGTTCAAATTGAAATAGATTTACTTAGTTGATAAAAAGTGAGATCAATACCTTAATGGTTAACTTGATATGATTAGAATGTTATATTTCTATTTAAATAATCAAACTACGTACTCAATAAAACAAAAACTTTGGTTGGGTTTAGTTGGTTAAGTACATGAGTTGGTTCAAACCTGTATCCAAAAATTTGTTGACAAATGAAACAAGGGTTGTGCTATGTTTTTAAAAGAACAATAGTTAGGACATGTAGACAAGAAGATTAGGTACACTGCAAGTACAAGTGTTTATCACTTTGATAGAAGAAGAGAATTTTTATTTTAACAAAAATACATTTTCACAACTCAAAAACTTACTACTTTAAAAAACAACACACTTTTAATATAATAATAATAATAATAATAATTTTAATTTATTTTCATTTTTATCAAATTATTTTCTAATTAGTATATTAATAAAAGTAAGTTATTTTGAAGATGGTTTATTTTTAGAGTTTTCAAAATATCACTTCTCTTATTTTAATTGTGAATTAAAGTTCAAAATTAAAATAAATGTTTTTGTAATTGAAAGGAGAAGAATTATGAGAACTGCGACTAATTTTATATATAATTTCATCTTTTATTTTATTGAAATGTTTTTAAAGATAAAACGTGATGAATTAAAGTTTTAAAATAAATAAAATCTCAAATATGATAATAAAATCTAAAAATATTGTCATATTAAACATATAAGGTGAAACATTCTTATTTTAATATCTTCCATAAAATTGAGGGTAGAGTATCAAGTTGTTATTTTTATTTTTTAAATATTGATTAAGAGATCATATTTTGAGATGTCGAATTTTGAAATAGATAATAATTCAAAATGATATAATTTAATAATAATATATTTAGAAGTGGATGTACTATTATTTTGAAATGAAACAAATGCACATTTATCTATATGTATTTAAATGCTTAATATTTCAATCGGAAATAATAATTTGTTTGAGATAAACGAGCAAGCAAAAGTTTTTTTTTTTAAATATAAAAGTATAAAAAAAATCAAATTTTTGGAAATTTCCCTTTCAAAAGTTAGAGAACCTCTACGAAGCTTCATTTCCTATTAGCTATTACCTAAAATTTTGAAAAGAGAAAAAGAAGAAAAAGACGCTTTGCTAAGTATGAACTAAATTGTTTGAAAAATACAAAAAGAAAGAACAAAATGGAAGACGCTCCGAATAAGTTTAGAAACGAGAATTGAAGAATAAACAATTTTGAAATTTAGTGCGTAGGTTTGAAAGAAGCCGAAAGAGTGAAAGTAACTTGCGATAAACGTTAAGGTGCTACTTTCATATTCAAATGTTGTAAAAACGCATATACACTCCTTAAAAGAAAGGAACGTGCTTAAAGATAAGAAAATGGTACCATATAAAATATGAGTAAGAAATTAATAATAAAATCTAAGAAGTAAAATGTATTGATTTTTTCTTGAGATCAACTCATACATCTTAACTTTTCAAGAAAATAAATGAAAAGAAATTATGGAAAATTTAATTTAAACCTATGCGTAGATTTCGCTTTATTTGACATTATTATTTACTTCCTTTATGAAAAAAAGTTTCCAAAGAAAACCATACAAGTGGCTTTCCAAGAGTTTTGAATAAATTTATACGCTTCTAATATATAAAAGATATTACAAAAATATTTATATAAACTATAAAATGAATCAAAGTTGTTCTCTTTCGACAAATAGTTATTTAAAAAAGCTCAAAATATTTTTGTTTTTCATTTAATATTAAGAAAAATGTTTTGAAAAGGAAATGGTAAAATTCAAATTAACGTGCAATAAGTTTGATGTAATCATAAAACAACGGAGTTTGTGCGTAAATGAAGTCACTGGAAAAATGAAATCCAGTGGAGAGAAAGGACAGGTTGATCAGAAATTTCAGAGAATGATTCAGTTTGATTATGATGTGGGGGAATAATTTTGACCACTTTTGGCAAACTGGTTGAGAGGTCCTAAATCGTGAAGATGCCATATGATTGCATGCAAAACTTTAGTTAACGGTTTGATGCAACGCTTGGTTTTAGAAAAATCCAGGAAGGTCTCACATGATCATGGTCATGACTTTATCCTTTTGCGGTGCCATGTTCCAACATCTGACCAACTGTTTTTTACTTTTTACAGACAGACACCTTTCCTTTTAGTAACCTTCGCACACGTGATAAAGCAGTAAAATTGCTATTAAATTATAATACAAACTGTTTTTCTTTTCTTTTCTTTTCAATGGCAGATTTCTAATTTTATCACTTGCCATTTGCTAATTATAGGATCTAATCACACCTTGATTTTATTGCTCAGGATGCTACAAGCATATCATTCAAAGTCCTTACATTGAACTAATCCAAAATTTTGGTCAGAACACACCAACTGAGTTGCTAATTAAATTGTATTTTGAGATTTTTCAACGGTCTGTTTTTTTAAATCATATGGTGCCAGGAGCTCAAGAGTGACACTTTCGAGGACAGGGATAAAAAAAATTAAGAGCAATTTGATGGTTTTTGTTTTTTGTTTTTTAAAGGCCAGAGGAACTTATATTTCACCTTTATAATATTTAGATTATTCACAAAAGAATATCACAACTAAAATGTGGAGGCATACATTAAAGAAATATAAATATTACGAACATAGTCACTATTTATGGCTCAACATTGTCACGATCGACAATAACTATATCCTTGTTTTAAAAAAAACAGCTAATGCCAAATATGATGATGGTATTAAAAAGTATATACAAGAAGTATAATAAAGTTTCCGTTGAAATTCATCGTAGAAATAATCTACCCCAGACTTGCTTTCTTTGAAAATGGCAAAGCCCCACACATTCACAGCAATTCTGCTCTTATTCTTCATCGTACATGGTCCAGGTCGGACCAAACAAGGAAAATGACTAAGAAAAAACGTGTCGAGTATTTGAAGAGTCCTCAATAATGATGACATAATGATGCAAAGAGACCCAAAAATATTAAGTGATTCATAAAGATAGTCTTAAGATAATATTAATTTTTTTAATTCTTTAAAACTAGATAAAATCACTATCGTCATTTACGTGTTGGTATATTTTAAATTATATAAGTACATTCCTCTTTACTTTTCAAACATCAATGAAAAATATTCATATTTATGATTATCTTCTTTATAGTTTTAATGGTTTAGGGTAGATTTAAGTATTGTAGAGTATGTAGTTTTTAGCTTCCTATTAAATGTAACATTGGTTTCAGGATTTTATTTGTTGAATAATCCAGTGTTGGCATCGACCAACCTCTTCCATGGTTGTGGAATAAGGGGAAAAAGATCTGGGTCCTCCGTAGGCGGTATTGAGTAAGCTAGTGAAAGCACTATTTGATAGGAAGCTACATCATACTCTACAATATCTATAATCTACTCTAAAAGCTAGAAAAATACACTTTTATAACTTAAATTATATCAAAAACTAAACTACAAATATTATCATCTAACTTTAAGGAATTAAAATATAAACTAAATATTATAAACGTTATTTTTAATATTCTGAGAGAATTCTATAAAATCCTTAAGCCATTTAATTTTCTTTCTTTTTGGGCCTATTTAGCCCATCCTATCATTTGACCTGGATCAATGTTTATACACATTCTCGGGGATTACATTTTACAGTACAGTCCGAACTTATTGATATATACACTAGAAGGAAACATGATACTACTACAAATTGCTGGCCTAACATGAAAAATAGTCTTTGAAAATGCTAGTAACACAATCTCTTTTACACTCTTTTGAACTTTATCCATTACTCAGCAAGAAATTTTGATACCAGAAAATTTTAGTAAATATCACTTCTTATTGAATGAGATCTTGTAATTTTCATCAATATTTCATTCAATAATGAAATGTGTAAGAGTGTGTTATTAGCATTTCTCCTAATATTTATACAAGTGTAGCGTGTGATCCAATAAATTGAGTTCCAACTCCAATCTTCACAAAATCTCACGGGCAGAATTTCCGCAGCAGCCGGAACAGCGTGCCACAGCTAAGCAAAAAATTGTGATTCCGTGACAATGGTCAACTAAGAACAGGAGTTTCACATGGTTGGCTGGCAGAAATTTGATCCCCAGATTTTCTTTTCAAGGATTCTGTACAAGTTTATAACCAGGGTAAATGTAAGGTCTGCTGAGTCCCTAAAGAATGTCCACAAATTATAACGGAGTAAAGCAGGATTTATTAAAACACGAGTGAATAATGGACTATCATGAAAGTTGATAATAAGACAGAAAAAACATCACGGATTTTATAAAAAAATAGTACCGGTATAAACATGTTACTAAAGGTGCTATTCTCTTGTAATTGCAAAAGAAACCATCACTTCCTCAAGCACCTACATTTATTTACAAGGATTGGCACGATAAATAGGATATGTACAAGATCTGCTGTGAACTTAGATCAAGTCAACATCAATTGATTATCCTAAAATTTTTCTTTCCAAGGGATAAATTTGGCAATAACAGAGAATATTTACCATATTCAAAGCTTAGATACAATTCCCACCTGTAGCATTTGACCAAATGGTATATCTACCAACTCCAAGTAAACCCATCAAACAGACATACTATTACTATTGTCAATTCTGGATTAGGTTCCATGAAGTTCCTCCACATGGTAGTAAGTGGGGGCAAAAATAGTATCAGTGAAATCTAACTGCTACTCTTTTTGAACATACAAAAAAAGTACAAAAAAAAATTCCTTGATAAGAAACCATTTTGATTAAGTCTAAGATTGCACCCACCTACATCACTTGTACACGATAGAAGCTGACTAGGGTGACTGTCTGTATTATACAAGGTGCAAGAAAAAATAGAGGACAATGCAATCTCCACCTTTCGGAGTCTTTTAAAGAATCATCATTTAATAGAATTCCAATTCCGTATGAGAGGGACCGACCATAATATAGTACATAATCATTGAAAGCAGAGGGGCATGGAAGCATCATCGTGCCATTAGTAATGAACCTGAACTAGAGATGGTGGCCGATCTTTTGGTACCCCCCATCCCCACCCGCACCCCGCCACCCATACAAGTTGATTAACTAATATAAACCTTTTCAAATAGCAGAAGCACATGCATATGAACTACGGAAAAAAAATCCTCAATGCAAGAAGAATATTCATACCAAGTCTTTCTTTTATGACAGCAGCATTTTCGCGCCCACAGCATTTTTGAGAAAAGGAGTATATATCATGGTACATTTCATTTGATGGATGAATTCCAGAATCCTCCATCCATTGCAATACCTGCTCAGAATTTGCGTACTTTTCAGATGTGATTTATTAAAACGTGAAATACCCAAAATGAAATTAAACACAACCAAATATCTAGTACAGTCATGAAAAAACATAAGTTTTGATAGTTATGTAATGCGCACGGTTCTAATTCATGTAATAGCTTTGTTCATTTGCTGCTTGTTAGTCAACTTTCAAAGCCAATTGTTGGAATAAAGAAGTTATAGTTTTTATTAGGGTGTTCGTTGTTTGGAGTTATTCTACTCTTGTTTTGCTATCTTATTATATATTTAATAAATAAAAGATCCGTATTTCTCCTCTATGATTGTAGCTGAGAAAATACACTGTAATACTTCGAAGATCAAAAGCTAGAGCTTTAAAAACTAAGATAAGCACCTAAGCAAGTATTCGCTATCTTATTATATATTTAATAAATAAAAGATCCGTATTTCCCCTCTATGATTGTAGCTGAGAAAATACACTGTAATACTTCGAAGATCAAAAGCTAGAGCTTTAAAAACTAAGATAAGCACCTAAGTACTTGGAGAACCCACACTTAAAGCTAGCTTAAATGTAAATGTCTTTTGAATTTAGTTTGTTATCTTGTCTTTTGTTTCTATTAACTAAAATGTTTTGCTTAAGGTCTACAACATTTTATTGTTAGTTAAGAATATGTCGTGAATTTTTGGTAAATTCCTTTTAAAATCTTGAATATATATGTATATTTATAAAATCTGTAAAGAAGGATTTAGAATATCAGTCACCCCTCCTGCTGCTACAGCTGCTACAGATCACTATGTGAGATTGATAAATATGATTTGATTAAGTGAAATAATACATGTTAACATAAATCCAAATGTGAATGATACTTGACGTGGCACTGAGGCACTTTGGCAACCAAAGATACTATTTATTTGAATATTAGGATTCTTTTAAAGTTGGAAGTTATTTCTTTTGTTAATAGCGTTGTTGGGTTTAGCTTGTAGTAAGTGCCCTACACGAGTATTTCACTAAGATATTTAGTATAAATAGGAATTTTAGAATCATTATATACATTTTATATCTGTGAATTATACACTCTCCCCTTCTTTTCCATCAAAACCAACTTTCAACTATAATTAGTTAGATGCTAGAACTCTTAATTGTTGTTCTAGCTACATATATGAACTTCTCTTGCATTAAATAAATCTTAAAGAGCAAGCAATATCTTACCTCTAAATACTTCCTCCAATTTCCAGATGATAAAAGGTTCTTCAATAAAATAGAGTAAGTGTTTAAGTTAACATCAGTACCTGATGCCAACATTTTGAAGAATAACTGCACACATGAAAAATAAAATAAATTAAAAAGGGTAGTGTAAAGGATATCAATGCGAGGGGAAATCATATTTATTGTTCTTGGTGAAATTAATATCTCTACCAAAATGTCTGACTGACCTTCAACATAGTTTCAATCTTTCCGCTTTTTCCTAAAGAATGAAGGAACTGATTCAAACATCCGGATGAAATTACAGGAAGTGAGGGCTCTATGTACTTGATCATATCAGCAGCCGTCCTCCAATCTTGTAATCTTAAGGCAAAAGGGACACATTCAGTAAGATAGGAACATAACAGTAAAAAACATTAACTAAAGATAAAATATGATGCTAATCAAACCAAAGCAATTTCAGTAATAGGCATCTCTCCTTGGTTTCTTGCCCACTATTGATAAATCTTGAGCTTTTAGGAGTAAATATGTACCAAAGCATCAAATCTCATAATATATAAAAAAAAAAAATGTTCATTAAATCTATCAATTCATCGTATCACCATGCTACTAAACTTCAAATTCCACCAATAATATAATTAACAAATAACAATCTTAATATTGTTGCGGAGAAATACATTTTAGCTGAACAATAATAACAATAATGTGAAACAGTAGATAGTATGAAAACTTATTTAGTTGTTAAAATAAAAACCTTTTACAGCATCTACACCAATCAAAGCAGCAAATAATTTAATTCTAATAATGAAAAGTATTAGCCACAAGAATATAGCATCAGATTGAAAAAGTGCCATGATGTCTTGATAGGAAGATACTAGCTAATTTCAGGCACAATTAGCTCAATTTAGACTTAACAGAGGAGGCACCATATGCCCATATGGTAAAATGGCCGTTTTCAGAAGTTTCAAGAAGCCCAAAAAAATAAAACAGGGAAAGACAGGTTAGTGCAATACTTTCTTTAAAACGAAAAATATACAATCAAATCTGAACTCACATGCTACAGGCAGATACCATTTCAAAAAATATGGTATCACTGAAAGGAATTTCATTCTCCCTCATACTTTGTGCAAGACTGAGAACCCTTCCCGGTTGACCACCTTTATTAAAAGATCTCATTAGAGCTGCACAGGCAATAGTATCTAGCTTGATGCCACTTGATTCCATTTCTTCAAAGAGTGCATAAGCTTTTTCCCAATTCCCTGATCATAAAATATTGTTACTCAGCATATATATATGAATAACATCCTAATATTTAATTCATTAAAAAATCATTTTACCAGCTGCATTGTAAGCATCAAGCATGGAGGTGTATGTAACGACATCAGGGTAACAACCAGATGATTTCATCAAGTTGAATGTAGATTCTGCTTCTATGATTTGGCCCTAAAACATTATCACGGAAAAATGTGAAGGAATAGAAATAGAAGTCTCAAATTATATTGATTCACCCATTGAGATCCATCTTAACCAATGTACTTACCTGTTTGCTATAGGCACATATGACAGAAGAGTAGGCTTCTTTGGACAAAGGAAGTTTTAGATGCATCATTTCTTCCATAAAAGATAGGGCTTCACCATATTTTGACATCTTACAACAACCACTTATCAACACAGTGTAAGTAACAGAATCAGTTTTAATTTTTTTCTTCCTCATAGATTTATACATGTCTACAGCTTTATCATATTCCCCTATACTCATATAACTTCCTATAGCTGAATTGTATGCAACTGTGTTTAATTTAATTCCTCGCATCTTAGCTGCTGTTAGAACTGTGTCAATCTTCACCTTCCGACTGCATCGTCCACAGGCAGCCAAGAGGGTGCATATGGAGACAACATTTGGCTGAATTCCATCTTGTTCCATTTCTCGCAAAATTTCAATTGCATCTGTCAGCAAACCACTAGATCCATAGGCATCAATCAATGAATTGTAACTGACAAGGTTTGGCTTCAACTTGTTTCTCTTCATAACATCAAATATTTCCCTTGCTTTTTGGGGCTTTTGTGACCTTCCATACGCACTTAGGAGAGATGTATAAGATACAACATCAGGGCGGAAACCATTTTCTTTTATCTCATTGAAAACCAAAAGTGCCTCATTGTCCATCCCACAAGCAGCGTATGCACCTATTAATACATTGTATGAGACTATATTAGGCTTCAGCCCTTCTGCAAGCATCATATTGAATGTAGCCTCACAATTTTTAACTTGCCCACACACAGAATACAAGTGAATGATACTAGTGAATGTAACAGCATCAGGGGTACATTCTGACTTCTTCTCCCTCATGGAATTAAAAATATCCATAGCTTTGTCATATTGTCCAAGCTTTACTAGACAATGGATAACAATATTTAGTGTAGTTGTGTCAGGACGAATATGAGTTCCCTTCATTAATTCAAAATAAGACAAAGCTTTTGAATACTGAGCCCCACTTTTAAATGCTGATAGAATAATATTGTGAGTAACAAGATCAGGCCCAACACCGTTGTCTGTCATTTTCTTGGAAACCTTAAGTGCTTCTTTCCAATTCCCACTAGATCCACAAGCATTTATCAAGTTGTTATAAGTGTACCTACTCGGTGGAATCTGCAAATATTTGTCAGTGTGTCAAACAGCAATTTAGTTAACAACCAACAATTAAAGTGCTTATTCTATAAATTGCCAGTTTACGACAGCATAGGGTCCAAAGAAAATGAAATGGAAAACTGGCAAGATCACAGAAATCTCATCACCAAGATTAATCATTAATTACTAAAATGCACTGTGGCTTCATGTTCAGCTAGTGTAGCATGAGGTAACTATATGAGATACATAGAGCAAATTAACACAAACCAGAACGAAACCTATATGGTTCCCATTTCCCAGCACTGGGAAAGAGAAATAGATTCTCTACAATCAAATGAAACAAATCTAATTTATATGTATCTAAGCATAAAATCTCAAGATTACAATGTAATGGAGTCCTGTAGATATCTGTCTTAGATCATTAAGAACATGAATTGAAGAGGCATGAATCATCATAAACTGGATCCTGCGAAAAAACACGTATCAAGTGACCATAATACATGGCAAAGTAGTACAGCACTATAAAATATGTTCTCTTGCTCCCTGACCACCAAGTATACTTAACTGCAATTTAATACCATAATTAAGTTAACAAGTTTATCACATCAAGTTGAACTCACTAAATATGACTAGGGAAGAAAAATGCAAAGTACACACAGCTGCACGCAGCATGTCATCCATGATATTCAAAGCCCAACGCCACTGTCCAGCTCGACCATGTGCGTTGATAAGAGCATTATAAGTCTCAACATCCGGTTTACACCTACAATCCACAACAATACAGGAACAATTCATCCTCCAAAACACTTAAACCTTGTTCGAACAAACTTTTTCATGAGAATCTTAGAATAATAAGCAAAAATATGAAAAAAAAAAACGAGATGATAAAATGAGTAGAGCTTCTCTCGTAAGCTAAAATAAACTTATGTACTTAACTTCTATAAAAGTTTTCTCAGTCAACATCTCCAAACAATTGAGGTGCGTAGGTTGACTTTAATTAACGGGAGAACCTCAATTCATTTTGTCACATTGCATGCTTGAATTTCAGCTGAGACAATTCAAAAGTTTATTTACTCCCGAAACAACAATTTCTTTATTATTAGCTTTATGCATTGAAATACGGAAATGTACATTGGATTTGGAGTTCGCAAAAGTACTTTTCCCTCGATGAAAAGGTTACCAAATCAGAACTTAAATCCATTAATTCACCTCCATTCCTGCATCTCGAAAAACAATCCACGCGCATGGTCCGTTCGATGGTGTCGAGCGTGCAACCTAATCATCATGTTGTATATATCATTGCGCGCACGGTAGTTCCTCTGTAACTTCATCCACCGGAAGACGCGGTTACAGTGTTCAATGGACCCCCGCTGCGTCAACTCCTACATAATAGAAAACGAAAAACGCAATGCGGATTATACTAAAACCAAAAACGCTCAAAATCGTGCACACGAGAATCGGAAATTTCGGAATACCTTAATGAGATAGGGGAAATTCTTGCGTGCAAATCGGCCTATCCAATGGTTGAGTACGCCGTCGATGTCGTCGGAGAGGTCGAGGGAGAGAACGAGTTCGGCGACTTCGGACACCGTCCAGTCCTTCTGGAAGCGGTTACCGGTCACACGGAGGCGGTAGCGGGTGGCGATGTTGTCCTTGCGGAGGCCGGATATTTTGATGGAGACCTCGTGCTGGCCTTGGTCGTAGTCCACGAAGCCTTCTTTTGTTCCCTTGAATGCAGTCTTGTCCGATTTCTTCTTACATGAAATGGATGTTCTCCGGTGATTCGACGCGGTGGCGCCGGGGAGTTGGAGGCAGTGAGTTGTGGTGCTAGCCATCGGAGGGAGTGTAGTTGGAAGAATGGATTGAGGATAACCGCGCTAACGGAAATGAGACATTTTGATATATATTTTTTGTTTGACACAAGAAACTTGGATCGTAATTACAATTGGGCTCTGTTGGGTTTGCCGTTGGGCTTGTTCTATTTAAAGAAACAAGAGGATTATTTTTCTCACCATCCTTTGAAAGTTTGATACTGAAATTCAATATTATGGGGAAAATAGTGACATTTAAAAAAAAATCAATATTATCAATTATAAAACCAAATTATACTAATTTTTTATAAACCAATAATCTGTAGTCAAATGTTTTTTATTACAATAAAAAATTCGTTCATACAATATAAAATTACCATATACAATAAATATACATATGTTAAGTTTTCAATATGTAAAATATGTTAGTGGGCCATCATTAAATCATACACAATAAGTACATGGATTTCTTTTCGATGTCAAAATAAAATAATTTATTTTAAAAGACACATATTATTCTATTAATTATTTTAAAAAATTAATGATGTAAAAAATATGGACACGTAACACCCAAAAACTGTGTTTCCATTAATTATATTATAATTATTTGAAAAGCATGTAACATGTTGGATTTACCCAAAGAAAATCTTTGTCATAGGTTGAGAGGTGTTTGTAAATTCAAGAAATCAATGAATACTATTCCAGGTTGTCCAAATTGGAGGGTAGGTTTTGGGGATTGTTTGGTCAAGTTAAAGAGAAGGTTGAACATTGATTGGAGAAAAGGGAAATTGGTCATATTCTTTGCTTTAATTGTAGATTAATGATAGTGGTTAAGTGGTTTTAACTCATAGGGAAGACTTTTTTTTTTTTTTAAATCAAGGGATTATTGAAGTGATTTTAGAAAACTTTTCTGAAATTAAAAGTAGAAACACATGTAATTACATGGTTGGTTTAATTAAAAAATCATGTGTTTAATCAAATTTTAATAAAAAAAGTTAATAGGTGATAATTATAAGGATGATTGTGATGGTTGATGACTAACACTTAGCCTATCCTATGTCTTTCTTTATGTTTGCATATTCTCTATCACACATGGGTGTGAAAAGCTTTCTCCCAAGTAAGAACAACAGAACGGATAACACTGCATAGATCAAGGATCCAGGAATAGATGCTATTAGATTATGATAAACTCAATGAAGGACCCACAAACAAAAGAATGATAAAATCGAATAAAGGTGATACACTAAAACCATTTTCATTGCTAGGACCAAATAATTGTACAAAAGAAACTTCAAAACTTCATTCATAGGAAAATAAATAAATAGAGAAATCGCCGCAATTTTTTTAGCCCTCAAACGTGCTCAAATATGAAGCAATGGTTCGTGAGTTTCCACTAAGTGGTGCTTATTTGGTCGGTTTCAAACCCACATGAGAATTCGGATTTGACTTGGTGGCTTCATGAACAACACAAACAGGTCATCAAATTGCACAAGTGCTTTGCACTTTGCAAAAACTTTCAGCGGAAATAATTGGCTCAGATTTACTTGTTCACTGAAGCTGCCATTGAATGCACATGGACACAAATACACACTACTAAGAATGCATTTTTATTAAATTATAAATATATGCTAATTTTTCTTGTAACTTTTCCTCTATTTTTTTTGTATACTTTTTATTATATTACTTATAACATGTTAATTGGTTTCTCCATTACTTAGTTTCCTTTTACGTGTCTCCCCTTTTCACCTGAAACTTCACCATTTTTGGTGGACGATTATCATGAGTCATATTCAAAAAGTTGACTTGTTTTACGTACCTCCTTGTCTACTTCACCTCACCTAACTAGTTTCTCTGTTAAAGAGTTACAGTATAAACCTGACCCACCATTACTAAAGGAAAGGAGAAGAAAAGACCAATATAATTGGAATAAACATACAAGAAATTAGCTTTCAAGTTAAGAATAATTAAAGACTTCTAAATCTTATACCCAATAACTTTTTGTTAATTTCTATAAAAAATAATAATAATTTGAATAACTTTTCCTTTTTTTCTTTAAAAATAATCCATTACGTGTATACAACGAAGGTTTGAATTTGTATTTATAAACTTTTCTATAATCTCACGTCTTCAGTTATCATGATATTGTGATTATCAGATTTATGTGTTGGATCATTAGTTAAAATTCCTTCATTGGTGATTGCATAATTTCTGACATAAACATGGATTCCAATCTTAAACAATGAATCACAATTATTACCCAGCAAACAATCTTGGGTTTCAGATGTAATATAACAATGTATTGTTATTTTCAAATTTTGTTTATAAAATATTAATAATGAAGAATCAGGAAAAAAAAAAAAAGAAGGAAAACTCTATTCTAATTTTTTTTTTTTTCATTTCAAAACTATTGTCACATTTTTTAAATTTAAGGACCTCCTCAACTTTTCCTTTTTCAGTCATATCCATCAATTAATAATCGTCTGCACAATTAATTTATACCTTAGCTAAATAATGAAATAAGAGAGAAATTATGTATATAAGTGATTAATTCAATTTTATGTATGGTAAAAAAAGGTAGGTATAAACGTACTCAATTTATTAATATAATTAATATAATAAAAGTAATATATATATATATATATATATATAAAAAGAATTTAATAGTTTTATGTTTAATTAATTAAGACTTCTTTAATAATAAATAACAATAATTAAAAAATTACTAAATAATCATGATATTTGTCATTTGGAAGATTATCTCCGAAAACCATCTATAAGTAACTTTTCTCAACAATATTAAAACTAAAACACAGATGCATTTCTATATTTTTGTTATTATTTTGTTATTTAGATTTATTAAAATTTATATATATATATATATATATATATATTAATTTCAAAATATAATTATGTGTTTGCTAAATTTATAAATTATTGAAAATAAATAAATGTAAAATAGAGATAGAAATGAAAGAAAAACGAAGATTGAAGGAAAAGAGTGAAAAATAAATTATATTTTTTTATTAATTTGTATTAAAAAAATGAGCAAATATTACAATTAAAAGAAGTGAAAAAAATTATTATAATATAATATAAATATAAATTAATTTTAGTTTCTTTGATCATATAAAAAACTATTAAAATAAATTCTTTTATATATAAATAGAAATATTGTGAGTTTGCATTTTTTATTTATTTATTCTTAAATAGAAATATCTTTATATATATATATATATATATATATATATATTTGGTTTAAAATGTTTTTGTTTTATTTTAAATATTTTTGTCAAAACATACGTTCTTTGATCCATTATCTTATTCTTAGTAACATGAAATTATTGATTGGAATTTATATTTTGCTAAATTTCTTGTTATACATGAATTAGACCTAATTACAGTTTTATGTGGGTCAATGAAATATACACTTAGATACTAACTAAACAACGAACTATGCCTCCATTTTAAAGTATAGTTTGAGAAGAGTACCGACACAACAACAAACACATCAACAGTGGATGAAGAAGGTAAAGAATATTAGGGGAAAAAAAATCAAGTTGTCAAATTTTTATATATATTATTTTTTGAATTTTTTTTAATTCATTGATAATTTAAATTTATTTTACAAAGAAGATTTATTTTATTATAATTTTTCCAAGAAAGAGAAAATTTTGTGAAAATGTCTTAAATATTTATATGTGAAATATGGATGACAGATGAAGTAGTACAAGTTTGTACAAGAAAATGTTGGGGACAAGACCTAGTAGTCCCCGTTTCCACGTGTTTTATGTTTCTTGGAACCTTCCATTGCATTGCATTTGCATCTAATTCTGGAACAAGATCCCATGATGCCTACACCTTAAGCTTGGGTTGGGACCCTCCTTCTAACCCCTCATCTCTCGTATTATGCCACATTATTCATTAACCTAAACCTTAACATTAGAGTGTTGAAAACCTACAAATAAAATTATGATCTAAAAGAATATTAAAATTGATTTTTTTCATTTTTGTATTAAAAAGTTTTAAAATCAAATAATTCAATTCAATTTGATAGTTGAAAATAAACTTAAAAATTAAATTAAAAATATAAGATATATAATTAAAATTAAACACATGAAATAGTAAATAATTCAACTAATTTTTTGTGATATATGTTATTGTTTTTAAATTAAATATATAATTTTTTTAAAATTATATATAATATTTTATTATATATTATATTAAATAATTATTTTATTATAATATCTAAACTCATTGCTTAAATATTATATTGATTTGATTTAAATTTTTTTAAAAATAAAACTGAATTATATTAAACTATATTTTAATTTTATATTTAATTCCGAAATTTTTTTAAAATAAAATCCAACCAAATGACACTTTCACCTTAATTAACCTTCACCTAAAATAATAATTAATAAGGTGACTACAACTATTACATTAGTTAAATGACTATTTTTCATTATTGTTTCATGGTTTTGAACATGTCAATAATTCCTAAAAAAAATCAAACACAGGTTTCTAGGATTTTTGCACCGACAAAAACATTTTCTCATTATATGGATTTTATTTGTCTGAGAGATCTTCGTCTATTTTATTTTGATGTTCCATCATCATGGTCTCTATAATATATACAGTTCTTTCTCTTGAAAGATTTTGTTCCAATATTTCACCAATTTTTTTTTTATGTTTTAGTTATTGTTTATACATATAACCACACATGCCCACATATTGCCATTACTTCAATTTGTTATCTGATTGCTCATCAGTTCTCGTGTTTCATGGAAATGTTATATTATTCTTCCATCCCTTTTGATAATAATATACTATTACATTGTTTCAAATATGCTTTGGGTTGTTTATATATATATATATATATATATATATATATATATATATATATATATATATATATATATATATATATATATATATATATATATATATATATATATAATTTTGTATGCTTCATTTACTAATTTGGATTATGTGAATAATATATATTATACTAAATTTATTAAATA